GACCCCAACTGACCAAAGGGATATTCCATACCATATGATGTCATGCTCAGTATATAAACTAGGGGAATAGTTTGCCAGGGGCCACTTCTTGGGAACTGGCTGGGCATCGGTCAGCAGGGATGAGCAATTGCATTCTGCATCACTTGTATATTCTAGTATTACAATTATTATTATAATTATATTATTATTATTATTACTATTATTATTATTATTTTCCCTTCCTTTTCTGTCCTATTAAACTGTCTTTATCTCAACCCATGAATTTTACTTCTTTTCTGATTCTCTCCCCCATCCCACGGTGGGGTGTGAGTAAGCGGCTGCATGGTGCTTAGCTGCCTGCCACGTTAAACCACGACAGTCCTTTTTTGCACTCAATGTGGGGCACAAAGGGTTGAGATAACAACAGATTTGACCAGAGCATGTTTAAACAAATTTGTTATAAGCATTCGTTATATTGGTTTAATAGTCGCTGGTCACAATGTTGATTTATTTGCTCTCAGAGTTGCTGCAACTTGTTCTCAGAGCTGCGTTATCTGTATATGTTCCCTGTTGTGCTGTTTATCACCTCTGGGACTGGGTTAAGGTTATTGTTTTGATGTACTGTGTAACTCTGGCTTATGATATGATAAAATTGCTAGCCGCGAGACTAATCTGGTATCCGTACTCAGCATTGCTGTCATCTCTGTACTTCAGGAGCCATCTCTCGGAAACTATAAATAATTACACTATTTACCTTTTCTCCCTGGAGAGCCAGTCTGTGGGGGAAACAAGGCGGGACACTTTCCCCTGCTCGTTCACTCTGCCTTTCTCCTTCACATTCCCCCCCCCCCAGCCCCAATGGAGAGAACGGCTGTGTGGTGGTTAGCTGCCTGCCTTGTTAAACCATGACATAGCCCTCAGCTAGGAAGGCGGCAAACCCTTCTATGCTTCAGTTTGTTGAAAGACATTGTAGGCATTCAAACTGTGCTTTTTTCTAAACTTTATTTTATTAATTGAAGTGAGAACACAATAGGATGAATACTTGTGATCTGGTTTGAGCTGCTAAGATACCTACTCCGAGAAAGGCATTTAAATTATTTCATCTCACTTTGCATGGCCTGAGTATTCACATAGTTAGGTTTTGCATTTCAGCTGAAGGTTCAGTAATTGGAAACTGAAAACTACTAACTCTTTCTTTGACTGTTCAAAATAGATTGCAAACACTCATCTGTGTAAGCCAAGTACTGCTTTTTTTGCATTTGTACTTTGTACATGAGCTGGATCACAGTCTAGAACTCTGAAATGTAGAAAGTGGATCTGAGCCTATCGGCCATTTTCAAAATAGATTCTTTGATGTTCTATTAGTATGTATTTTGAGAACAGAAAATAAGAATTTGAAAGATAAAATAATCTGTTATGTATAAATAGGTTGCAGAATACTTGCTTGCATCATTTTGTACATGGCAAATACGGGATCATTATGGGATCAGTTAGTATGTTATCAATATACACAAAAGTATTATTGTCATATACAGAGGAACATTACATCCTCTTCTGTGAACCTGCAGTGGAAAGCCCTGAAATAAATACTAACTTTTTCAAAGTAGCAACATTCCTTTCTGCACCAAGTGATGCAAGCCAGAATTGAATATCATGGAAAACATCTTGTTGATAAATTGTGTAAGTTCCTTAGTACCAAAATGTAAATTAATAATAATAAAAAAATCATAAAGTTAACAGTGACCAAAAGTAATGAGTACAACTGCTTGGTTTGTGGATCTGTATCAGTTATTTCTGATTCCTATTAACAGATACATGCAGTAAAAAAATATGGTTTTTCCCTTCAGTACTGTTCTCAGCAGAGAAAATAAGGACTGCAAGTGCTTTAAGGATTTTTTTCCAATTTAGGATTGAATTATGTTTCATAGCAGGAAGTTTATATTGTCATGGTCCTGAGTTTTATTTGTATGAATAAAATGTAGATTCCAATGATTTTAGTTCAAACAGTGGGGTTTTTTAATATAATTTTATATAAAATTTCATGTGTGCAATACATTTTTAAGAACAGGAATGACAAACTAGATTATCAGTTTAATATCTACTTTCTAAATGCCTGACTTTTTTTTTTTTTCCCCCTCATTTTACAATAGAGTGTTATTGTATAATTGGGGTAGTGAAAACTATTATTGGTGTACAAAACATGCCTTATAGAGAAAAAATAATGTGCGTACTTTATAAATTCTTTAGAATTTACATTAGCTTTCAGCTTTCATGTAGTATAAAAATACACCATTGTAAGAGTCTTCAAATAATTTTTACTTAATGAAATTTTACATGAAGTGACCAGTTACATTAGTAAGTTTTTAAACATGCAGAGGTTGATAATATATTGAAATAGGGCCATTATTGAATCCCACTACATTTCCCTATTACCCTGTGTACTGATGTTTAGTTGCTTAACAGTCCTAGCTTCACAACTAGTTAGGGTGTAATTCTTTCAGTAGGCAAAGAGAGTGACCAAGCTGCTTATACTTAATGTTACACATATTCTTATATTCCTGGATCTTCCTGGGTAGAGACAATGAAGAAGAATTTATTTATTTCTCTTTTTGATGACCACAAAAAAAGTATACGGTCCCTTGGCAAACTAGCTTCTGTTGCAGCCAGAAATTTGAACTATTAGAGTTATAACTCTATAGCTACTTTATTGAAAATAGCAGATTAGGTAAAATTTGATGTAAATATTTACTCTGTGTGTGTGTGTGTACATGAATGGAAGAGTAGAGTCAGGCCTGTGAAGGAATGAATGCAGGTGAGCAGTTACACTTTGCACTGTTTTTACTGTGTTTTGTATTTGGTGTGGTATTGGCCAGCATCCCCTGGAACATAGGAGGGAAGATACTGGGAAAGGAAAGTGGAGGTGCTCCCAGTTTGAATTAGGTAGGTTATAGTTAGGAGTGAGGCTGGGGGTAGAAATGAATGAGTCTGAGCCAGGAGACAGTGGAAAATTTAGAGGAGACTTTGAGTTTAGACTTCAGATTGTTGGCAAGTGTTTGTTGCCACCCTGACTATTTCTTTCCTTTTCCTTTTCTCAGGAAAAGTTTTTCTCCTTACATAACAGTTGTTCCAAAATAATATGCCACTTGCTTGTCCACAGACAAACTCCTGGTACACAAGAGCTTCCTAAAACATATCAATACAGCGTGCCTATGTACAGTGTACACAGAAGTTCTATGTGAATCTAAAACCAGATTTTATTCTCCTTAGAATGCCTAAACTTCTAAATTTTTCACAGCTATAGGTTTGGACTCTTGCCCTGAACCACAGACCCCAAGCAACGGGATCAAAATTGGAGACAGATACATGGTTGGAGATGTGGTGTCCTTCCAGTGTGATCAGGGTTATTCTCTTCAGGTGAGCCAAGCTTCCAATGTCAAATGGTGCCTTTTAGTTCTTTAACATGGTTATGTCTGAGTCTGTCAATATGAAATGGACACTGAACTCTTCAGGAGTTGCAGATACGTGATAAGCTTGCAGGACTGGTAGGCTTTTCTGCCAAATATTAAATTAGCAACTATCCAAATATTCTATGAGAAGTGTATGACTCTGTGCTTCCTCTGCATTAGTGATTATAGGTTGTTATTGATGGCATCTTTGGTATTCATGGCTGAGCTATGCAGTGTTGGCAAATTAAGTTAAAACACTTGATGAGCAATAATCAATAGTTCTCTATGTACAGGAGGAAAAAGAAAGTAACTGAAGAGGGGGAGTAACAACAAACAAAGGGAAAGGAAATTGTTTTTCTCAGTGAATCAGATAGTGCCAGTTATTTTCTTTCAGTAATTTTGGGGGGGGGCATCCAAAAAGGTTTTCAAATACGGGTGTATTCTTGCCAAGAAAATTTACTATGCTGTTGCATTAGCAAAAGGTGTAACTAGGGGCAATGAAGTGATTGTAAACTGTGACTAATTTGCCTCTTTGGGTACTTAGCATATATAGCCAGTAAGAATCTGTCTGCCTACAGGAAAGATCTTGAAAAATATTTTCAAAAATTTGTACAGTTACACTGTAGAACCAAACTCAAAACTGAATATTGTTTCCACTTGAGACACTCCCCAAAAGGACTAAGGTTCCAACTGATAGGTTACTATTTTCAACAGCTATAAAAATTATTTTTTATATTAAAATTTTAGGGTTTTTTTTACAAAAAATATTTTCCTCATTTGTGACTCTGTGGACTCTACAGTCTCCACTTTATCTAGGTCTTTGAGAGCATAAAAAGAGAAAACAGTCACATTACCTATGCAGAGTAAAAAGAAAAGTTTTAAAGGGAAAAAATGTTTAGTATAGAGCACAACATGATTAACTGCTACTGGAGTTATTGATATCTTCGGAGTAAAATAGCAAAAGGATAGCTTACCTGCCTTTCTTTCTTCATTAACATCAGTCTGGCCTGTAACACATGTTGATGAGTGTCAGACTAACTAATTGAAGTGAAGTTTTAAAACCGGTAATAATTTCAAACACTTATTTTACATAATTCTGTGAAGACCAAAATAGTGGGGTCATATGTACTACATCAAAGAAAAAAAAAAATAATTACTTTTTTGGACTAAAGAATATTTTTTGAAAAGCTGCAGTTTATGTACTGTGATAGAAACTAAATAAACTTGTCTGCTTCCAGATCTCAGCTGCCATTTGGATTTGTGACCTGTATCTCAGTTTCCCCTTCAACACAGAGTTCCTATGCATGTCTGCAGCTTTCTGGCATTTCAAGAATAACTGAAATGTTCTGTGATTGCAGCTCTGACAATGACTGTTGAAGTTTACTTCTTATGTTGCTTGATTTTGGCTAGTCATTCTTGAGAACAGCCTGTCAATTATATTTTTCTTCTTTGTTTTAATTTGATACTTAAATACAAATATATGAGCAGACAAGCCACAGTAAATAGCTGAAATGAAGAAAATATAAAGAACATTAGAGCATGGACTGTGCAAACACACGTGTAAAACCTCTTCCCTCCATATTGTTTTTCTGGCTTACACATTATGACTTGGCTAGTTCCTTGGTTTTTTTTCTCCTAGCAATGAGCAGATATGCCTACTCGCACTATGGAGAAAGTGTGTTTATTTTTCTTCTAGGAGAGAAAAAGAATGGGTTGCAGATTGATGAATAAACTATTCACAGTTACCCTGAATGATTTAGAGATACTTGGTTCTCTCGAATGCTACAGGCTCAGACTTGATAAGGAGATTTAACATGAAAACCTAACTTTTTTCTTCATATGAAGGTTGAACAAACAGGCTAAAAGCTATTGCATTTTTTCTACTAGGTTAATCTTAAAGTGTATACTATATGATTTTGTATGAAATCCCAAGCAGAGTTTTCTGCTAAGATTTTTCATTTTCATTTGCTGTCTCTGGAAGACAATTAGAATTACATGAGGCTGATGAACAACACAGAAGGTCACTGGTGGGTCTTGGAACTTAGCTGTAACAGATTGCCTTGAAATCATAACACTTCATCTGTTGTAAAGGGACACATGTTGTAAAGAGATTCCTTAAATATCTCAGCTTTTGCCAACTTAAGCAACTGTTTCAGGGGTGAGGGTAAAGACTGCATTTAGAATAGGTATTATGAATTTAAGATGTAAAGTCAGTACTGTATAATGTGTGTAGTTTGTATCTTTTTATCATGTTCCACAAATTATGCAAATCAATACTATGTAAACATTGCTTCAATTAGACCTTTAGTTTCTAGACCCTTGGTTTATACTAAAGCTGGTATTATAGAATTCAGCTAGATACTGTTATACTGTTAGAAATAACATTAAGGGCATAGACACAATTCTCAAGTGGGCTAACAGTCACATAGTTAAGATTACAGTCTGCTCATATTGAAGGTATGATACAATTCACAGTGTACAATATAAATGTTATACCTTGTTGGTTTTATATATTTTGATGATGTTTTAAATTATAAATTATTTTTGTTGAGATACTAATGATGTGCCATATATTGTATATTTTTCGTTATATTAATTAGCAAATATTGTGTCATTTTAGGGACATTCACATATCACCTGTATGCCTGGACCAGTAAGAAGATGGAATTATCCGATTCCAATATGTTTAGGTATGTTCTGCATACATAAGCTTTCTTAAATATGACAGAATGAGAAAGCCAGAGAACTCAAAAATAAGAGCTACATATAGGGGAAACAACAGGGAGAACTAGAAGAACTTAATTAAAAGTGAAAATGGTCAAATGAAGCTGAAGATTTTCAAAGTATACTTGGCACTTTTTTGGCAAAGCTTTTCTGAAATGTCCAGTCAACAGAAGAAAGGATGAAATATGTTCTAGTCAGAATCTATCATCTATTCGCTATCAGTGATGAGACCTCCAGAGACCCTTGCAAACATAGTTATTTATGAATCATTTCCACAGCAGAGTGATGACTATTATAGAAAACGCTAAATAGAAATAGCATTACATTTTCATCTTTAATAAGTTCAACATAAGGCATGTCTCCCCAATTTAAGAAGATACATTATTTTTTCAAATTACACTATATACATGATCATATTAATATTATTGGAAGAAGCACTGGAATCCTGCCAGAGGCCCAAATGAAACATCTGAAGTGCATTTAAATATATTCTCTTTATATGGTGAATAAATGTGAGGGATGTAAAACTCCTTCTATTTGCATTCTCTTTCACCAAATAAAAATGCTTTTTTGTTTGGGTTCCCTAACAGTAAAAATTATCTGCATTTGTAATCTTGAATGTATGGAAAGTAGGATACTACAGATCTCATTAAAGATTTTATACTTGGCTTTTCTTCAAGACAGATTATATATCCTCTTGAGCTGATTCACATAATCCTGTTCTTAATCCTGTGAGGTCTTAAAAACCTCCTGTGAGGTACTGAGCTCCCTCAGCTTAGAATTTATAAATATTCAACAAGATGCAGATAGTTGTAAGAATTTTTTCAGGAGTTAGTCTTCAGTTTCCATCATTATGCATTAACATATGTATAGGAAATCTGATATGATAATTGCACTGCTCTATGGTAAAATCTGAAGGCAAAGATGCTGTGCTGAAATTTTAGGGGGGTTTATTTTCCTTTTTTTCCCTTCTTTTTTGCAAGTAATGATTTTTAATTGTCTTTCAAAGGATGTAGCAACTGTTAATTGGACAAAACTGTTAAACATAATTTTATTTACCATAATTAACATCTTCAAATCTAATATTGAAGTGTAAGTTACTTTATTCACTGATGTCATGCCTGAAAAAAATTAAAATTAAGTTCAAATACAGATATAGTTAAATTTCTGGAAATATGTGTTTGTGTACATTTCCTAAATCTGTTTATTGTACCTTGTTTTTAGAACAGCAGGATACAAATGCAGTTTTTAAAAGACCTCTTGAAATTCTTTGAGTACAGAATCTTTTAAAAATAGATTATTATCTTATATTATTCAGATGCTCCTTTACAAACTAACGTGGAATTGTGCCAATGTTGCTATGAGCTGATGTGTGCCGCTTGCCTGTTCACAAAGGTGGTTCACACAGACAGAGTGCAGAGTAAACATCTGTTCTCTTTTCAGGTGCATGTGTCCCCCAAATTAAAGACTACTCCATTCAGAATAGATACATGTGTTTAAAGCACCCACCTATAAATTACTTTATTACAGGTATTTAGTGGTAAAGGAAAGTTTGTGTATTTTTTGAAACATAAGCCTAGTTATTACATTATTAATGTTGGAAGGATGTTCAATGTTCTGGATTAATTTTTTAGCTCATTCTACTCCTCTGAAAAATGTCTTTGCGTTTTTTTTCAGCACAATGTGGTGGTGGCATGTCGGACTTCAGCGGCGTGATCCTCAGCCCTGGGTTTCCTGGCAACTACCCTAGCAGTTTGGATTGCACATGGACAATAAAACTGCCTATTGGTTTTGGTATGTGTTCTTTCGTGGATTAAATTTGTTGGTTTTTTTATGGATTCAAAAAACTGAACATAGATTTTAAAATAGTGTGAATATTTATTCTGGCAAAAAAAAGAATTATAATTCATTTAAAGAAGTTATCAAATCTTAAAAGAAAGATCTAGAATAGAAAAGCTACAAGGTTCTTGGTTTTTCTTTTAACATATAGTACAATTTTCTGATAAAGATACATCCTCTTTATCCAGGTGTCTCATGAAGACATTGAATAGTATAAGCACCCATATCAACCCACAGAGTATTGTATTTGTTAGTGGCTAGCAAATGGACGTTGAATGACTCGTTATCACTCTTGGAGCCTTGAAGTTCCATTAATTTTTAACGTACTTCCTCTCCATTTATCAAGTTCATATATGTTCAACTTCCAGATGAGAACACTATAGAAGACTTGAGTCAAAAGTCATAGCAGAGTGAGAGTCCATTATATCCACAGTTCTCCCTTTTTCAGTTTAATCATAGAAGGAAATAATGCTTGATCAGTGTTGATTTTCTGTTAGTAAATCCATGTTGACTACTCCTGAGTCCCTTTTTATCTTTTATGTGTTTGGAAATTGCCTCCAATTAGCCAAGTTCCATAATCTTTCCATGGACTGCAGTGAACCTGCAACTGCCATTGCCCAGGTCCTCTTTCTTGTCTTAAAAGTGGATATATCTTCAGACTTTTTCTGGTCACCAGAGCTTCTCGCATTCACTATGATTTTGCATAAGTAATATCAGCATTTCAGTTACACTAGCTAACCCCTTGAGCAACTTTCGGTGGATCTTATATATCTATCATTGCAAAATCTTTATTCAAAGTTGGCCAATACAGTTGTGCTATCTAATTTTTTATACTTGTGGCACTTTTGTAGGAGCACATGTGCTTGGACTTTTTTTCTTTATATACTGGTTGAATGGCAAGCTGTTTTTTCAGACACGCCTTACTGTTTTCTATTTTATACTTGCCATCTTCTGTCAACTTTACTTGATGATACAGAATTTCTGCGTCTTCCACAGTAACTCAATGTGACATCCCAAGTAGTTTTCCCTTCTGCATCTGTCCAGATTCTTTCTCTCTTCTTTTTAAAATCACTTCTATGATCTTTTTGATTATAAGTCTCGGGATCCTGGTTCACCTATCATTTAAAGGAAAGACAGTTGTTGTGCATGGTTTGTTTAAACTGAGTAATATTAGACATTCAGTAACATTGACTTAACAGACTCTATCTGTGGGAAGTACATTATGTCAGGATAGGGATTTCCATATAGAACCTAATTGTTTGCATTTTGTTCAAGTCACAATATTCAAGTCAATAATTTATTTTTCTGTATTAGCATTTTACAGAAGTAGCATTGATACTTTAATTCTGCCATTACATGAATTTTAGACAGCTTGACATGACAGCTTCTAATGTTTTGTCATGAGTCATAATGCTGTCTAGAATCTTCAGATCCCATGCAGATCCATGCTAGTTTTCCAGTTCATGTACAGGAAAACTAAATGCTCCCTTTTCTATACTAAAATTGCACAGATTGAAATGTGCTCGACATTTTCAACCATTTCTAAACAGGATATGATTAAAACTTAATTGGAAATTAAAGTATAAGTTCATTGTAAAAATGAAAAAAATGACATTGAAAAATTGATGGCTAAAACTGGTTTTAGCGATGCTGTGGTTCTAGTCCAGTGGAGGTACATACATCTAACTCTTCTGAGTAGTAAACAGAAAATCTCAGAAACACCATCATGGGAACTTCCTATGGGCTTTCACTTGTTTAAGTACTTCTAACAAGATTTTTTCCTGGTTAAAATTTACAGATCATAAGCTTTTCCACTTTATGTTAGCTAATGGTGTAATCTAAACCAATGACACAATGTTAATTTCAATCAACGTACAAGGTTGCTTTACATGGTTTGTTGCTATTCTTTATGAGATTAATGGTTAGATATTATATAAATATATGAAATACTCATTCATGAGGGATGTCCAAACTGTGAAAAGCCATAGAAAAAGCCAGTCTAACAAGCAGAAGTCTGAGACAGACCAGGTGCTACAGGCTGACCAAAGGATTAATACTTTGGAAGACTGATATGGTTCAGGAACTCATAGTGAAAGGCAGTAGAATACAGAGAGCAGAATGATGGGCAAAAATATATTAGAGCTGGTTTTGTATCGAACGAAGTGGGTGAAAGAGAAAAAAATTACACAGCGTGAGTTGGCAGTTATTAATGACAGCTTAACCTTTGGACAAGTGTTTGGTTCACAGAATCAAATAAAAGGCCAAGCCTACAAATGTCATGGATAGAGAAAGAGCAAAGTTTGGATATAACTGGATTCTCTGTGTAGGAAATACCTGGGAGGCTGGCAAAGTCAAAGAATGACACTTAAAGCAGAAACTTTCTTTTGACATATAGACTATCTTCAGGTAAAGAGAGACAGAAATTATCAAGGTAACAGTAATTTAATTATGCACCAACCTTTTTTCCTGTAGTGTATGAAATGTTACATGCTTCAGAAAACCATTCATAAACTTTACATGGTATCTGGGGAGAAAGCTCTAAAAGACTGTGGCAAACACTATTTAGCTATTACAGTTTAGGAGTTACAAAATTATTCATGACTTTTCAATAATTAATCTGACATGATATCTTTTCCTTTCAATTTTATATGAAATCATGTTGATTGTCTTTGCCAGAAACACCGGTGGGACTCAGTCATCTTCTTAATGAAGATACTCCATTATCATTCCATAGTTGCACTAACTCCAGATAAAATACAAATTCTACTCTGTTTTAACTTATATAAAAATATGTATGAACAGGAAAATGTTTAAAGACTCCTATAACCACTCAGCTGCTGAGCATTTTCTTCTTGTCCTGCCATATAATCATTGTAATACATCATCTGGTTAGGAGAGGGACTTGCTAATGGATAGTAAGCTACCTTCCTGTTCCTTACTGAATTAAATAATCAGAAATTTCTGTTGGCAAGATCATCATATGATGGAGTATGTGTATGAACTGCATGTTTAGTGGGAGAGGTACTGATGAATGATGGCTAGATGATATAATTTACATTTTTTTGACTCAAAAATAATATGTATGTTAAGGGATGTAAGGCATGCAGCCACCTCCTCCAGCCACTCCAGCCCAGGACCCTCCTGCCCAGCCACTGGAGCCCAGCCTGGTGCCCAGGGACATAAGGTCTCTGCCCAGGCTGAGGGACATGGCGGCCACTTTCCCATGTGCAGATTCAAACAGTAATGAAGCTGAGCACAGACACACACACTGACCTGGATGGTCACTCAGACTGCCAACAGGAGGTGCTGTCTTCAACAGCACCTACATACAGGACTCAAATAAAACACAAGCATAGGCAGCCAAGTCCCCTCCTCTGCTTGGGCTGGCGGAGAAAGAAGGTCACTAGTGCAGGCACACACAAAACACTCTCCAGGTTCACAAGCACACACACGTTTGCAGATCCCTTGATTGTCTGCCTGGCACCCCTGTCTGGATTTCGGGCCCTCTTACTTGCTTCAAGGGTTCCCTACTCACTGGCTGGTCCAGTTTGAAGTTTTTTAGCAGATGACACATGAGCACCCACACCGGCACTAGGGAAGATATAGACACTTGCCCTCCCAGCAGCGAGCACCAGGCGTATGGGCTGTGACCCACCATCCCGCTCCAGCTGCCACCACTGAGCTCCTTACTCACCTCACTCACACTAGTCTCCCCAGTAACTGGTTTTGAGAACACGCACCATTCCCACCCCAGTGGCTGGAAGTTAAAGACCCTTGCACTCACTTCAGGCCAGGGGCACCAACACCGCTGCTCAGACTCCAGTAGCTGGCACTTAGTCCATTCAAACTGGTACCCCCCCTTAGCTGACATTCTGGGCACAAGGTCTGTAGAATCATAGAACAGTTTGAGTTGGAAGGGACCTTTAAAGGTCATCTAGTCCAACCCCCCTGAAATGAGCAGGGACACCTTCAACTACATCAGGTTGCTCAGAACCCCGCTAGGACCCTCCCTAGATCCAGAGAGCTATGGCCTTTAACTCGCCCCAGTAGCTGACCACAGGCAGCAGGGTGCCCACACCCCTGCTCTGACTCCAGTAGCTGGGACCAATTTTCACCCTCCCACACACACAGAGGTCTCACCAGTAACTGGCACTGAGACCCGCCCACTCACTCCAGTAGCTAGCACTACAGGCCAGGGGCACCCACAACCCTGGTCTGACTCCAGCAGCTGGCACCAAATTCTACTCACAGGTACGGATCTCACCGGTAGCTGGCACTTAGTCCTTGCAGCACATATGCACACAGGATAGAGAGTGAGATTACACAGAGAGATAGTTGAGAAAAGATTTAATAAGAAGATATGAGATGGTAGGACAGACTGGTGATCAGGTACAGGGCTTAGCCAGAAAAATGTACTGACCTGCCCCATTTTACACGCAACCAGCCCCTTTCATGCCCTTTTCTGTCTACCTCCATCTTTGTTCCTCCCTGCTCCCCTTTCCGCTGCGCGTCCCCTCAGGAGTTTGTATAAGTCTACCAATTCCTGCACCCCTCCCAGTACGACATACCCCTGGTTTACGATCTTATCAGTTGCAAAGTCCAGGTTGATCTTCCTGGAAATTGTGCCTGTAGTTTCTTGACAGCCCATCAATGTGACTGACAAGGTTTGTTTCTTGTCATTTGCTCCACGTTTGCTTTGTCAGGTCTGTGTCTTTGTATATTTTGGTTTCTGGTTTTCCCCTTTTCCACTGGTTTCCCAATGTAAATTCCCTGATCAGATGACCTCACTGGAATAAACATTTTCACACTCTCACTTGACCTCATCAGTTAGTGTGATTGACCAGGTTTGGTTTTCATCACATCCTCCTTCAGGTTGGTGTCCCTCTATCTTCCTCCTTTTCTTATTTTACCTTGCTTCATTGAAAAATGTCCTTGACCAGATACCCTTAAAGGAGCAAACACTGTCATTCTACATACCCTTACAATATATGTGATACATATTATGTGCAAAATTTTTACTGTGCCTCGTTATTTTTTATATATATATATATTAATATATATAAGCTGAGAAATCAGTTTATGTGCAACTGAAATGCAGCTATCTCTGGGGTAGAATTCTGTCACTAGATTTTTTTAGGTGTGGCACAAAAAGCATGTTTTCTTTTAATAGAACTAGAGACTATTTTATGCAATTGAAAACAGGAAAGCTTTAACTAAAATGAATGTATTCAATGTTCAGAACTGAAATTTGCCCTAAATGCACAAACAACAAACTTTGCCAAAAAGCGGCATAAAATACACTACAGTTCAATGCCTTAGATCATGTTAGTATTTCAGTGTTAGCATTTCTTAGCTTGCCAGCCTCTCAGAATTAGTAATGCATGAGGAGAAAGAATGCTTCAAACTGAATTCCATGGACTGCATCAAGGAGCGTAACACATGCATTTCCACTAGTTACATTATTTTCTGATATTAACAGTGTAAAATGTACATACTTTATTCTCCTTCCTGGTATTGATACTAGTGGCTTTTATTTACTGACGATGTTTTTCAGGTGTCCATTTGCAGTTTGTGAATTTCTCAACGGAGACCATACATGATTATTTAGAAGTTAGGAGTGGATCTACAGAAACTAGCACTGTTATTGGGAGACTAAGTGGCCCTCAGCTACCAGCCTCTTTGTTCAGCACAACTCATGAAACCAGCTTATACTTTCACAGCGATTACTCACAGAACAAACAAGGATTTCATATTGTATATCAAGGTGAGATTTTGACATTCTTATGTGAGAATAGGGTGGCTGTTGAAGGTTATTTCTTTTTTTGGCATTTCTAAAAGATAAACATGAAATAAAAGATTTTGTGTGTTGCAAACCGAAGTGTTATGCATCAAGATCAAACAGAAGAATGCAGAAAATTAAGATGAAAAAGGAAAAATAATTGCATATGCTCTTTAAAAAGCAGTTCAAATGTAGGCAAACAGATAATTTCCCATATCTGAATTTGGTTGGCATATTAATTTACATTGCCTGGCTTTACAAAGTAAGCATCTCTATTGTTTAATCTTTGTAAGCATATGGGAATCTCACTTTTGTGTCTTGGGTTCTGGAAGGGGAAGAACTAAATATTTTTTTAGAGTACTGGATCCATGTAGGCTAGTACAGAATAATGCCAACTCAGAAATCTCCAAATCGATTTTATTTCCTAGTTGGCAATAGCGCTGGAAGCTTCTTGTTCTGTTGTACCCAAGTAGGTCATGCTGAGCTGGTGAAGACTGCAAGATCATAATTCTATTTATATAATTGCAGATTCATTTAAAAGGGGCTAGATCATCACTGTTCACAATAAAAGGTCAAATGTATATTTTAAACTATACCTGTTTTCATGATAACATCGAAGGATGATTTAAAGAGTTTTTACTTTAGAGCAGTCTCCTATTATTCTTTCAAAGGTAACAAGTCCAAGTTGACTTGAACTCTATGTAACATTCTGGAAGTGATCCACTGTAAAAAGTGTTAGCTTTTAAAGAAAAAGTCAGTTTATGACTTAAATTGGATGCTAAGATTTTATTCACTTATTATTTGGAATATGATACAATTTGTAGGAGTAAGGGAACTTTAAAAACTACTGCTAAGAGAGCAGTAAAAGACTTGTTCATTCCCAGTTCTGTGATAAGAAGTCAATGTTTCAAATCTTCTTGGAAAAGATGTGAGAGGCTTATTTTCAAATCTTACTTGTTTGCTATCAAATCTTTGATATTCATAGTTCGTTACAGAGCCTTTTAATTCTTCTGAGAAAACCAAGTAAAATTATAGACAGGTTTATTTCTCCTCTTCCTTAAAAATAATGTAAAAACAGAAAACCCCTTGTCATGGTTTAACCCCAGTCAGCAACTAAGCACCACACAGCTGCTCACTCACTTCCCTCTCCACCCAGTGGGATGGGGGAGAAAATTGGGAAAAGAAGTAAAACTTGTGGGTTGAGATAAGATCGGTTTGATAGAACAGAAAAGAAGAGACTAATAATGATAACACTAATCAAATGACAATAGTAATAATTAAAGAATTAGAATATACGAGTGATGCACAATGCAATTGCTCACCACTCGCTGACTGACGCCCAGTTAGTCCCCGAGTGGTGATCCCCCCGCTCCTCCCCACCCCAGTTTATATACTGGGCGTGACATCACATGGTATGGAATACCCTGTTGGCCAGTTTGGGTCGGCTGCCCTGGCTGTGTCCCCTCCCAACTTCTTGTGCCCCTCCAGCTTTCTTGCTGGATGGGCATCAGAAGCTGAAAAATCCTTGACTTAATCTAAATGCTACTTAGCAACAACTGAAAACATCAGTGTGTTATCAACATCCTTCTTATCCCTAACTCAAAAACATAGCACTGTACCAGCTACTAGGAAGACAATTAAGTCTATCCCAGCTGAAACCAGGACACCCCTATTGGATCAGAAAACAGCTCCATCTAGCTCGGTACGGTATTTCCAAATGGCAAAAAGGAATGCTACTTAGCAGCACAGAAGCCTAGCTAGTTTCTTTTGTAGTTTTCCAGCATCCACAGTTGTTAGACTTAATTCTATTAATGTGCGATTTGATGGCATTTTCGCATTCAGACTTTCCACTGTCTTCATGATATTTGTTAACATCTGTCCATATCAACCCCAATCTTTTTCCCAAGAAGCCATGTTTAGCCATGTGGTCAGTAATGTTATTCGTTATTATAGGCTGTATCATATTACCATGTATAGAAGTCAGACTCACTGATCTGTAATTTCAAGGATCCCTCTAAAGATAGATGTGAATTACATTGGGAAATCACCACTCCTCTAGATCAGATCTTGAAATTATATGATACGTATCTTGGTTCAGCAGCTATTCTGGGTGAAAGTCATCTGCTCCTGGTCCTTTGTCTTACCTATTTAGTGTAGTACTTTTGTATTTACTTCAAGTTGATCTAGTGCTTTATACCTGCATAATACAAGCACTGCATCTGGTTTGAAAATCTCTACACCATCTTCAGCAGTAAAGATAGATACAAAGAAGGTATTGAGTTTTTCTCTTGTAGCATCCTAATCCATAAAAGTCCCTTTTTTCTCATTTGTCATGAACTGTCCCACCAGTTCCCTAGCTGACTTCTTGCTTCTGATGTTGTCAAATAATTTTTTTATGATCAGCTGAGTCATCTTCTGCAAGACATTTTTCAAATTATTTTTGCTCTCTTTATTTTCTATTTAAATTTGACCTGCTATGTTTTATGATTTTTTGGAAAGGCAGACTTCCATTATTTAGATGCCAGTCTTTTCCCTATTGCAGCTTCTTTAACTTCCTACTAAGTCACACAGGCATTTTTCTGAACCACCTTAGTGTTTTTTTATTCTGAAGTGTAGAACATGTTTTACCTGGTCTTTTAAAGTAGTGTCAATTAGCAGATTCTAATCTGCATTACCTCATTTTTGTATAATTTCCTTTCTAGAAAATTGAATATCTCTGTGCTAGGTTTATTTTACTTGCTCCCTCCCAGTACAATCAAACCGCATTATGACTGCTATTATTGAGCAGCTCTCCCATGAAAACTTCTCGAACTAAGGCTTGAGTACCAAGCTTGTTCAAATCTAAAATAACATATTTTCTTGTGGGCTTTGCAACTGCTTGTTCTAGGGAACAGTTATTTCCTGCATTCAAAATTTATTTCTTCAAGTCATCCTGGTAAGGTGGATATTTGGGTAGTCTGTTACTACTACCTGTTGTATATTTGTAGGTTCTCTAATTTTACTTAAGACGTCCTGTTCACTATCATTTTCCTGTTTAAACGTCTGTAGAAGCAGCTCAGTACTACTTATATTTCTCGAGGTTTAATTTCCATCTATGAGTATTCTGTAGTGCTTCTTTTTTTCCGGTAGTATTTTTCTTCTATGGCTCTTAATATAATTTGTAAACAACAGTGCTGCTCTCCCACCTGGAAGTCTCTGCCGTCTCAGTCTTGGAAAGGTGGTCACTTGGCAACACTGCATCCTGCTGCTCTATGCCATGCCTTTCACTTCAGGGCTCTTGGTTGGTTTAAGCATTCTAGATCCTACCTCCTGTGTTTTAGGCTCCTATAGTGGTGTGAAAGGGCTTCTTATTTTGGCCCTTGTTCTGTTCCTTGATACTGTATGCATCACTCAACATGCGGTGTAGGCTACCTGATTTGCTTTTCCTATTTATTGTAATTCTGCTGTTTGTCATTCTCCTGCACTTTTTTTAGAGGTGCATTGGCTGTTAACCTCCTCCCTGTCATGGCATCACATCAGTCTTCTGTACCTGTTAGTTTTTTCCCATGCTTCTAGTTTAGATACTGTTCTGCAGTCTTTTTAATTTTCATTGTCAGCAGCTAGGATCCATTTTGATTAGGGTGTACTTAGGGTGCACTTGGAAGCAATTTGTAGTCTTAAAGAGACAGAAGTGGCCTAACTTTTTGAAGATCTAAGCAGAGAAAACACAAAGTCTAAATTCCTTTCTACTCTCTTCTTCTCTAGTGCACTAGTCCTGTACTTACTAAAATTAAAAGATAAAATTAAGGGGCTAGTCTCATTTTTTGCCTTCATGGACCCTGTTCTAAAAACCTGTAGGGTAGGGTGTTGGGTATTTTTTTGTTTACACACACACACACACACACAGACTTGTTATCAAAGTGTAAAGAACATAAGATCATTTAAACTTTGGTTGTAGTATCATGTTCTCCTTATGAGGTTTGGAATTGGAAACTAATTTTTATGCATATTTCCAGAATTGCTGTGGGAATATTTCACTGTGATTCTCCTGGTGTAAGACCAATTATTTTGACTGTCACTGAGATGGAATTTAAGACATACGGGATGTCCATGATTTTTTAATTTTATTCTAATGAAAAGCTTTTATTTTTTAAGTAATTGGAATTTGTATTTTGCTTATTTTTTCCCCATTATTATTATTTATTTACTTCAGCATATCAGTTACAAAGCTGTCCTGACCCTCGACCATTTCGTAATGGTTTTGTTATCGGGAATGACTTTACTGTGGGACAAACAATTTCATTTGAGTGTTTTCCTGGCTACACATTAATTGGAAATTCAGCTCTGACTTGTCTTCATGGCATCAGCCGTAACTGGAATCATCCTCTCCCCAGATGTGAAGGTATGTTCTGAGTGACCCATGAACCCTTCATTATTTGTAAGACTTCCTAAGGACTATTAACTGAAATCATTTCAGCTTTTCAATTTATAGAGACATCTGTTTTTATTTTGTGGTCTTTGCAGAGGAAGTATTCAATTTTGCACATGAATATTTTTGCAGAGATACTGAAACATTTCATGGAAATGTGAATTCTCTGGAAACTTCTCTGAGCTAATACGTTTATTTTTGGAAAGTTAAGCTTAAGGTCTGGAGTGTAGAGACCTGTGCTGCTTTTTAGTCTAGGTGGTGCTACGGAGTAAAAGCTCTGCACTTAATCAAGAAAAAAGAATAAAAAATTCAGTTCCCCAACTCTGGCCACTTATGTTCTGTCTCATCAGTTAGAAAGAAATGTCAAAGGTGGCATAAAGTGCAGTTGTCCTGTGGTCAATGCTGTGTGAAGTCCTTGCTACATATATTTTTTGTGAATGGAAAATTTTTTAAAATTATATTTTTTAACCTTTTACATTTTTTTACACTGATATGTTTGCAGAAGGTAAGCAGATTCAAGGAACTGTGGCTTGTACATAGCTGAAATTTTAAGGAGACAGAATGAATGTATATGAAGTTTCTGTAATGGTGTTTATCTTATCCCTACCTATGCTGAAAGTAACCTGTACCTAAGCAGCAGGCCAAAGAGGGTCAGTCATCCAGTGTTATCAGACTCTGAAACAGACAAAGATGGATGTTTTGGTAACACAGAAATCTCTTTGAGAAATATCTGTGCACCGCAAAATCTGTTTGTGGAACTGAGGGCTGAATTTTCTTCCATATGAAATAATCACTTTCTTTTGGAACCTCCAGGTTTGTCACAATTATGGCAACATTCAGACAGCAATGTTAGATTCCTGGAAGAACATAGACACAGTGAAGATACTTCATATTCAAAACTGTCATCCCCAAATCCTACACTCCTGGGACCGCAAGATCTAAATGCAGTTAGCAATTAAGTTATTGACTGTAAAGTTCTCTGTATGTCTAGACACGGGTTTCCACAAAGATGAGATCTGTACGAGGTGTTGGATGCCAACTTTCATATGCCGTGAAGACCCTCCACAGTTTCAGGAGGGGTATTCAGGACCTGAGTTAAAGGCCTAACTTCCCTCTATATTGAATGGTAAAAGCTCGGCATTAAGAATGTGATCCTCAATACCAAGCAAGTTGAAGAGGAATGCCTGGGGGGAAAAAAAAAAAAAGCCACATTCTTTTCTGGATTTTTGCATTATATTGTGAATCATCTACCTAAATTTAGATACTTAAATTAGAAGCCTCATTACTCAGAATTCCTTCTGGAGTCAGTGAGCCACTGGCATTTCTGGGTGATGTGGTAGCTAAATTAAGACATATCTGATACTGAATTCAGAAGGAGAAGCCTTATCATATAAAAGACGGATGACACCTACACTGTCTTTTGAAAGGGGAAGAAGTTAATTCATCACAATTAAGTTTCAACCCCCATTTTCTGCATCCTGAAGGAATAGTAATGGTTCATGTCTTAACTGCTAAACAGCTTAGCTTTTCCCTATTACTTAGTTTTAGCTGTATTTTCTGTGCCCCAGAATCAAGACAAATAATTTACTGAATTTAGTGATTCTGTTTCTTTGAATTACCTCATTGGAACCAGGAATTTAATTAGTAAATTCTAAGATGTGCAGAGTATGTTGCTGTTCTGAGTATCACTTTTGATGAAGTTCCAGACAGTGGCTGGAAGTTCTTTGTTTCTACTTCATGTGGTATGAAAAGATGCAGATAAAAAAATCAACCTAATTGATAATGGAGATCTAACATGTGCTGTGCTGCTTGATTACTGCCAATGTTACTCAGCTCCCAGAGAAATTTCTTAAATTACAGGGGGTTTTGTGCAGTTATTTACTGTGGTATTTTTAGTAAAGAGTTTTTGACATTTTTATATGCTACTGATGGTTTTGATTTTTTTTCTTTATTGTTGAAGGAAAAAGATAATTAGGTATCTTCTAGTTGCACTTGGTTTGATTTGAGATAAAGTGCTTGTGTTCAAAAGCATTAAAATAAAGTGGACTTTTTTGTATACGCCTAGTGCCAGAAATGTAGGTATGTTTTAAATTTGTATTTGCTTTAATATCTTTATTGTAAGGCAGTATATACTGAGGTTTGTTAATGCCTCAGACTTCTTGAAGCAGACAGTCTGAATCAAATATCTCTAAACGGGGTTCCTGTTTAAACATTTTTGTTCTCTTCTCCTTGCATCCTCATGCACCTAAAATCCCTCTAACCTGTGCTCAGCACCATCTAATACTCTCTGACCCTTCTTAACTCATGTCCCTCACTTTCATCCTTTCAGAATCTATTCCCTCTCCTTTTCCGAGAAATCTCACTGTCTGACAGTCATCAGCCCATGTCTTCACTCCCCTAAGACCCTGCTGCAAAATCAATTCTGTCTGCAGTGTTCAAAAACCCTTGAGACTTTGAAGCTAAAAGCTGAAGACAATCAGTATACCAGCTGTTGAGTCTGAATGGATGAGGTGTGACTATGAAAGTCTCCTTACCCTACAGCTCCTCACCAAAGTATATGTATAAACCATAACACATGCTTTACCTAAATACAAACAATGCATAATTCCTATATGTCAAACCTATATTTCCAACAACCTGCTCTCTGGTTCTTAAGCATATTTTAGGGAATCTGAGTTGCCATTACATGTCCATTTGGGGTGGAGTGGAGAGGAATGTGTGCAAAATAAAGCAAATTATACCATTTTAGGCTTTGCTTACTTATCCAGAACTAGGCTTCCAAAACATAATTTCCCTTCTGTAATAACAGGGTGGTGTCATATTCAACATGCATCTGAAACCTCTGTGGAGAAAAGTGTACAGTTTGGACAAATAGTTTTCCTGAAGGTAGTAGTTATGAAAGTCCAAAAGCTGTATGGTCAGTCTTGCACTGTATAATGTCTAAAATTAGTGCACTTCAACAAGAATTACAGGAAGGATTCTTACTTTGTCTACCATAATTTATCTGAGGAAATGCAAAATTGCTATTCATACTGTTGCACACAATATTTTCATTTTCAAATTCCCCTCTAATTTTCCCACACACATCCTGCATCAATTTAGCATATCTCTTCTCTCGCCTGATAATTTTGTTTGGATACCTTCTTGTGACAATAAATGAAAGCAATTAATGTGTTTCACTGCTAATTTGTAGCTGGTGTTTACACAAAGCCATAACAAAATGGTTTTCAATTATGCAGGGAATAATTTAATCCAGTGTCTAAATATTACTTTAGTTACAGTTCTGATAGCATTTCTGACATCAGAATTACTTTTTTTTTCTTTTAGGTTTGACCAATAATATCAAAATAGACTTCGGACTCTGCAAATATCTCAGTAAAATCTATTTTCTATAAACAGCAATGGTTTTACATAATCTAGTTATAGCATACCAAACATGTTCAAAAGTATGGCTTTTACATGGTTTAAGAAGAATGTGAGAAGCTTCTAATATTTTTTAAAAACAAATGTCTTTTTTATAGCCCTCTGTGGAGGAAATATAACTGCAATGAATGGCACCATATACTCTCCAGGATACCCTGATGAGTATCCAAACTTTCAAGACTGCTTCTGGCTTGTAAGGGTACCACCTGGGAATGGAATCTATATCAATTTCACAGTTCTCCAAACAGAACCAATATATGATTTCATAACTGTCTGGTAAGAAAACACTTGTGGCATTTATTTAATCTTCATGTGACATAATGCAACAAAGTATGAATTAAAAAGAGTGTATTTGTGATTTCTCCCTTGACACTGGTGTTCTGTCTAGGGGAAATGAGTGATTTGCACTAATCTGTGTTTTCCAATGTACCGTTCCCTCTAGATAGCACTGGACATGAAGTTTCGTAGTCCTTGTCTTAAGAATTCAAAGACAATAATAGTGTGCCTCAGTTTCTCGATGAAGAAGAGCGTTCAGAAGTAGGCTATGACAGCTTATCAACAACCAAGAGAAGTAATACTTAAGAAAGGAGTGATAATAAGCAGTTGCAGCTGTGTATTACAATGTTTAGAGTGTTAATACAAGAAACTACAGCAACACTTTCTTCATTTCTTCCAGGCTGGCTTCTTTTAAACTGACAGTACATAAAAGGAGAGACTCTATTTGTATTTGGCTATGACAAAAAGAGTTGAGCTAACAATAGCTGTAAACTATTTATATATATATATATCTATATAGAGAGAGAATTATATTCTCTATATACCTGAATCCATGTCTATCATGAATCTTTCAGATGATGAAGCCCCCATTTTGCTTAGTTGCGAAGTTGGTAAAGGCAGGAGGCTGTAACCAAGTATAACAGCTCCTGCAGTAATCTTGAAACTGTTACCGGGGTGTCTCCTAGACATTTCAATAGTGGCTAAGACCTTTTAGGAGCTTGCCTAAAACAATAATCCACTGATTATTGAATCTGAAGATTGAAAATCCACATGTTGAGAGAGTAGTCTTGTAGTCTGAGTAGTGCAAAGTAATGAGAGGCAATTTGGAATATTAATTATTCATTTTATGTTTTCTGTTGCACAGAGATCTGATTTGGATTCATGTAAATTCATATAACTCAGGATTTCATTCCTACTTTCCTAAACAGTTCTCTGCATTCTTTTGTGATCATTTCTGTAGGTTCTGGGTTTTTTTCATCTTATGTTCTACAAACTGTCTTGTCCTGCATCCCAGATACTTGATTGCTTTGCCTTAAAGTCTAACCAAAATTTGATCAGAGTATGTACCCAGACTATTGCCCTGATAAAACTCAGATAATTTTGAATCCCTTTAACTCTTCACCACTTGTTTTGTGTATCAAATTTAGGCTGACACTTAGAATCTTTCCTGAATTAAATTATACCTTTGTGCGCATACAGATGTCCTTTCTCTATTTCATCCCACACAAACTAGAACATTACTGTCCATTTCTAGTGCTTCTTCTGTTCAGCTCTTCTTTTCTACCAAGTGATTTCATGTGCTTTCAGTTGTACTCCTGGTTGTGTTACAAACTTGGTTCTTACAGTAGAAGTAATTGTATATACCATGACAAAGGTAAAACCTCAGTTTTATTTCATTATGTGTTCTTTGCTGATTGTTTTTAGATGTTTTGTATCCTATTTAGATTAACAACACTTTTAGGAGAATGTTCTGAAATTAAAGCATCTATTATGCTATTAATGTATATATCATGCATGTCGTTACTTATGTATGATTTATATACCTGTATAAACTGTATTATGTACGTGATGGCTATATAAATAAATAGCTTATGACACTTCTGGGATATTATTTATTCACGGAACTGATCAGAAATTTTGATAGCTGTTTTAAATGGAAAAAAAAAAATTCTTGACAATTCAAATGCTTCTTCAAATCATACTATCTCCCCAATAAAACAGAAGGGTGTGGGAAGGTGCAATGTGCAAGAATTTGGTGAAATGTATTACTGGAAAATTTTCAAAACAAAAAATACTCATAATTTTATTTTGAAATTATTTTCAGTTAAAATATCTTATGCCAATAACAATTAGAAAATTTAAACTTTTAATGTTCATCAGTTCTGATCTGGAAGGAAGCGAGTAGGAAAATGCAATGCCCTTGCATCATGATTTTGTCCTCTGTACAGTTCCACTATTGTTTAGTACTAACTTTGATTTAATTTTTCTACTGAAATGAAGTAGCAGTGACCTTACCAGCAGTACCTGTATTGTCTAAATCATAATAAATAGTACAAAATAATATCAATCAATGTATGTGAACAAGGATTTAAGAAATCAATCAACTGTGTGTCATACTTAGTTTTGGTTAAAACTACCAACATTTATATGAATGTTTACCTGTGCCAGAGACACAACCATTTATATAAAATGCACTGCACAACTCTCTCAGCAAGAAATTGATTCAGAAAACTCTAAACTACTCATAAAAACAAACTTTAAAAGAATTCTTAAGTGTCCATATTTACTATAAATTATAAATTATAACACTTAATTGGGGGGGAGCTAGGTTAAAAAATTCTGACATTACAGAATTTCTAAAAGTAGCATCCTTAAGATAATCATTATAAATAAAATCTACATTTATAAATGCCCACATGCAGATTTCAAGTGAAATCTTGTATTCAGTGGAGTATAAGCATTTTGTTTTTATTTTTAATGAAGCCAGTATTCACTCGTCTTTTAAAAATTAAATAGTATTCATCTCTTAATTTTCCTAGAAATGACCAAAGTCAAAAAACTGGGCAAGATGAGCAGTATTAAGTTTGTTTATTTTCTGATAGCCACTTTTGAAAGCATAGATAAGTAAATATGAGCAGAGCTAGTGGCAGGAAAATGAAGTAAGATCACAAATTGAATAATTTTGAGCTTGCTGCAATTATTTAAAAATAAGAATATTACTTCCAAAAGGTGGTTGAATGGAGCATCTTGCTCTCTAATAAATTTTGATTGTCCTCGAATCTACTACCTGCTATACTCCAATCCGCATACAGTATTTCAAAAGGCTTTCAGCCCTATCTGATTTTATGAGATTCATGCCTTTCAGAGTAATCTAGAGAAATTTTACTACATTATACTAAAATTTGGTTGGAGAAATTAAATTATTTGGTTTTGGTAAAAAAATCTTTTTGTATCTGTTTGTCTTAGGGATGGACCAGACCAAACTTCTCCTCAAATTGGACAATTTAGTGGCAACACTGCATTAGAATCCGTCTATAGCACTTCCAATCAGATTCTGATCAAGTTCCACAGTGACTTTACTACCAGTGGCTTCTTTGTACTTAGTTATCATGGTAAGTGTGACAAATTGCACATTTTCACTGTCTGTACTGATTACTGCAGGAAGAAAACTCATGAAAAAATTACTTTAATTACTTTTTTTAAGAAGATTTGCTATTACTGATATGACTGAACACCACTAGGGTAACGCAAACATATGGAAGACTAATATGAATGATGAAAACAAGCTATTTTCTTGACCAGATATTAAATTTACTGGTGGTAAGGCCAAAAAAAAGAATGCACTGTGAATAGACATGAGCAAAGAAGGTAGCATCAAGACCCTGCAGTTCGAGGTGCTCATCTTCTCACTGCTTACAATGCTTCTAAAATTCCTTTGTAATCAAAATGGGGGTCGTTAAATTTCTAGTAGATATTTAAATCTTTTGAAGAAAGTACTGTTATTCTAGAGATTTCAGTGATAGTGAACTATACTGTGTAGTTAACATTGCCCTTGAATTAAATGAACTAAATACTGACTGACTGAAAATGCCTAAGTATTAATGCACCAAATTCTACCTCTTTTTGTAGTCATTCAAAACTTCTGTGGCCAAGTGTTCTCTTGCATTCCTATCACTACAAGGGAACAGATTCAGAAGCAAGGGTGTTTCAGGTGCTCTGTGAATGCCTGTTGGATTGACTATTCCAGGAAAAGTGGACAGACTACAGTCTGTCTTCTGGATCCTGGTTAGATTTTGAGAGTAGAAAGCTTTCTTTTTGACTTAGTAAAGACCAAGGTGAATACAGATAGACAAAACTGGGGGGATCAAAGGAACTTTAATCTAAACATAACAAAACAAAAAAGACCTAAATCCCACAATGAAAAAAACAGCATCAACAGTAGCTGAATTGATTATGGAGTAGACACCAGTAGGATTAGGCAGAGAGAGGTCAGAATTTTAATTCCAGATCTGGGCATCTAAATGGCCTGTAGCAGTTTGTGAAGGACAAACTGACCCTTTGTGGTCAGCAATATATGAATTGGCATGTATTGATATGTATGAATATATGAGTAAGTGACCAAACACATGTAAAAATGTTCATACCTAGTAATAAAGTGTCTCTAAAGACCTTGATCTCCTTATACTTGATTCTTCTGTTATTGTGGAAATTGTCATTCCACAAGTGTGGGCTCTAGTGTGTAATAAAGATGCAAACTGAGCAGCACAAAGGATTATTCATGGAGAAACTTAAACACTTTTTGGACTGAAGTTGTCAAGATAAATAAATCTCTTAGTATCCCTGAGTCTGTGATCCTTCACGTCAGCTACATACAATTTATAGCAATAACAGCAAGGCACTGAGAGGAGTCAAATTTATTTAAAATAGATAATTTGGGGATTAAAATCAATGATACCCCTAAATCAGAGAAATTCCAGATAAATTATATGAATTGTTTATTTGAATCCATTTTTAAATTATGCTGGTGACTTTTTTAATATATTTTTAAAGATGCAAATAGCACAGCTGTTCCATGTTTGTTTGGTGTGGTTTATTTTAAATTACTTTATCCTAAGGCAGGATGTTAGCTTTCTGACTCACTGATTTAATTGGCTCTTCATTATGCGATTGACAAAAAGGAGTGGAATAGGAAGATGTCAAATATGGGTGACTCAGTAGCAACAAAAGATCTTACCTGGATAAAATATAAATGTTATGATTGATAAAAGTTTGACCAGTTCGATTACTAAAGGATCCAAGTACAGGAAGTAACAAAGATGTGTATAACTGAAGCTGAATCGTCATCTGCCATAAGTAGATGGTGTTTCCTTGCTAATGAGAGATGCTATAAAACAATGTTATATGAAAATGTAGTATCGGTGAAAACCAGGCATACCTGACTCATTGATCAGCCTGAATGTACATCTTAAAACATGGAAGACTACACTGTCAGTAGAAATACTTCAGTGTGATTTCTTTGGCTGGATTCAGATTGAAAGGAATTTCCTCTGTGTCCAAACACAGGCCCATCCTCATAGGTTCTCTGTAAAAAAATAAAGCTATATAGCTTCTGCATACTCTTCCTACTTCTCTTCTTTATCATTTGTTTCACCTAATTATTTTGCCTGGCTGTTGCATACATGTGTTAAAAGTCAGAAAATTATTTCATGTGAGATTTCAAATGAGAAGTTTGAAAGCAGAATTATTCTCTGACGCTGTCTGCAGGTGAGATGTGCTCCACAACTATTCATTTACTGGGAAATTTCACTTTCAAAATGCTTCTGTCCATCAGTTATGCTGCCTCTGGGTAGAATCTTTTGGATTCTAAAACTTGCCTTTTTACAAAGTTTCAAAATGGAAGAATTCAGCAGTAAAAATGTATTGTATAAAAAGAAAACAAAAAAACCCAAAGATTGCACAATACAAAAAATATTTGCTTTTCAGGTGAGGTTACTTAAGTGAGAAAATTGGCAACCACTTCTAAGCTTCTTAAGTTATTTATGAAAAGGATTTTGCCACTGAAATTAAATAACTGAGAACACAGATGCAACTTCCCATTTTTCATTAATTTTGATGTTCATATGTTTCCTTTCTTTTGATTTTCTTGAAAGTTCCAAAGTAAATGAATGGATGTTTATTTTTATCCTGTTAATGTGGGTATTAACTCAGTTATGTTTGCATGGCTATCTTAACTGTCTAAGTATAGGAATGTCAACTGTGTTTTCTTCCTGTTTATAGCCTATCAGCTCCGGGTCTGCCAGCCTCCAACAAATATACCAAATGCTGAAATTCTAACTGAGGATGATGAATTCGAAATAGGTAATATAAGAGAAAATAAAAGCAACATTTGTTTCAAAAAAAAGGACTGGGATGCACAGAAATTTCTTACTTTTCAGGATGCAAATCATGCCTGTAATATGTTAGTTTTGCATTTAAAAGTAAAATTTTTAAGAAGTCATTCCTCTTCCGTGTACTTCCTGAATCCCATCTATGTTTCAGAGATCACATATAAGTAACAAAGTAACTTTCTAAGTAACTTCATTTTAAAATACATTTTTCATAATTTTTAATATAAAACATTTTCCTATATTGAAACAAACTAACAAACCCCACAAAAAACCATGTAGACAATGATATATTCTGTACCAGCATTAAGGTTCTGTGACCTGAAGGGTAAAATCAAATCTGTAAAAATTAGGAGGATCTGAGAAGAGGATGACGTTCTGACCTTCTAAGACCTGTTAACAATATTACTTAGCCACCTATCGTTCAAAGAAATATGACTTACATGGTCAGATGTGAGATGTCTAACCAGCTGGTTTTGCTCACATTATGGCACATAAAAATAAATTTATTTTTATTATATACCAATATTTGTTTAGTTTTGTTTTTTTTTCTTTTTCTGCTCTGTTACCAGGACCAAAGAGAACTGCTTGTGTACAATGTACAAGTTTTTACTTTTATTCATACATAAAACTATATGAATTTTTAATTTCTTAATTTAAAAATTATAATTGCTTATTCTCACCATGCCAAATTTAGATATCATCAGCTAAATCCAGTTCCTATTTAATTTTTATTCCCTCAGGATTGTATGGGTTACTGACTTGATCTTATCTCTTTATTTAGTTCCATCATGGTTATCCAATGAATTATATTGCTTAAAGCTTTGTGGACAGATGGTTCACACAGCATCAGTCAAACCCAGACAAATTAGCAAACTATCCAACTAATAAGCGGTGGAAAACAGTGATAGATGTAGCATAGTGTGCAACACAATGCTCATTTACCACATTTCTTAGACTAATCAAAGTTGTTTATGCCAGAGGTCATTTAGCCCATTATATATGGTGGTGAGAAACTTCATTAATCAATAATGTTTTCAAAGCTAAAAGTCCCAGTTAATAGCTGTTTAATGTTTCTTTTGTTTGTTTGTGTTTTTTCTTGTTTTGTTTTTCCAAACAGGAGACATAATAAGATACCAGTGTCAACCAGGCTTTACATTGGTTGGTAATGAGATCCTGACATGCCGACTAGGTGAAAGGCTTCAGATGGATGGAGCACCACCTACCTGTCAAGGTTTTTCTCCTTTTTCTTTTCCTCCTGCCTGACCAGCTGAATGGTGATCCCTTAGATACCCTCCACTATCTCTTTAGATAAGATGGCACATTGAAAATATTTCAGACTTTTTGATGCTATTCCAAATATTATCACAGTTTGTTATGGTGAATATGTGTCAACTATTAATGCAAAATAATTAGTAATGTTTTAATGACTTTGATGAGTTTAAAGGACTGCTCTACTTTGTGAAAATAATTTCAAAATATTTTTTTGGAGGGAGTCTAATAAATAATGTGATATTTTCATTTTATCTAGAACATAATAATATGAAAATTTATATGGAAATTTTAAAAAACATAGCATGGATTTGGGTGAACAAAGCCACAACATCATTTTTCAGTGCAACTTTAAGTGCTTCCATTTTTATTCAGTGTATTTTAAAGAATAGGTTTTCTGTATGTGTGCGTGTATGCCTGTGTGTGTTCACGTTTTCCTTCTTTTATTGAAAACTGTGAATAGAGAGATACAACACTACCTCACTGTTAAGGTTGGAACAAAAGTAAAATGCTGCCAACCACTAACATCACCGTTTAAGCCAATCTTTATTAAGTTGACATTTGATGTGTTATGCTGCAATAGAATTTTTCCATCATTTTTGAAGAAAAATGCGAGAGTTTTCTTTATACCAAACCAATTAGGGAGCTAATGGAGATAAACCTTGCACATGATTTATTTAAAAAAATGTAATCTTTTTAAATTTTCAGTGATGGGCAGATGTTTATTTTTTCTTACTAATTCTTCCATTTATTTCCAGAAAGATAAATAAGGGCATACAGTTATAAACATGTGTGATAAGGTATTTCAAGGGAAAAAAATAAAAAAACCCCACAGCTTCATAAAAGTGTAATTTATGTAAACAAAAGCCATTTTGAATCCTGCTAGTTGTTGTGATATTCCTTCGTGATCCATCTACTCCTGAGCTTAATATTCTAACATCTACTGCAAGATTAAAATACTTTCCCAAATCAGTCATAATAAATGAAGTTGATTTACATTTGTATTAAATGAAAAATGCTGCCATCTGGGTTTTCTACCAATCAAATGTTGGTTGTTCCCCCCCAGCAATTTTAATTCATTAGCATATCTATAAAACACTAATGGTGAAAGATTTATTTGGAAATAGTAAATTAATTGTGAATAAATCTACTACTTTTACAAGTAAAGCTTTAATATTTGACTGTTTCTTGCTAATTTCTGAAGTTTCAAACTGGTGCACAATTTAGTTTTTATGGATTTAAACATCAGTGTACTATTTTTTAGAACTTAAGTGTGACTACAATGTTCAACTCAGTTTTCAGCTGAGAGCTGGAAAAGTACTGTCTTATAATTATACCCCTTTCCTGCATTCCTGTAAAACTGGAATGGTCAACTACTACTGCTGAACAAACTATTTTCCCCTGGATATATGCACAAAACTATGCAAAAGTCAAAATAATTTGTAGCAGTAAGTCTAGTTCTTAAAAATGCAAAGTCGTCTTGAATTGTGAGTTTTATAAGAACTTTAACACTGATAATTTCTGAAATTCCATGCATTTATTTAGGTACAAATGTGTCTAGGAATAGCTTCCAGCACCCCAATTTAAATTAAAATCCAACTTAGCAGGGTCATAGCATGTAACGGGTGGAAAACCACGGTAACCTCCAGGCACTGCTTTAAATATTAAAATGATGTCATAATAGATAGGACAAACAGAGACATATTTGCTGATCCTGAGGCATTCTCTCAGCACATGTTGCTGAAGGCATATTTATATTCATTGCAAGACCCAAGACAAAAACTCAGGAATGATGACTTCAGTTACCATAGTTAATCTTTCCTCTGTCACATATAAATGCTAAATATTGGATCAAATACTAAATATTAAATCAGTGCTCTTACCATTTCAGTTTAAAGCTGAATGCAATTACCATAATCTTCAGAACTAGTACACTCAGAAAATTAAAAAAAAAATAAAAATCAAAGGAATTAGTTAAAACATGTTTAAAACGACCTTTCAAATTGGCCACCTAGAATAAGCAGCAACATAATTTTCTCTTGTATTTTTTAATATATTGTGTAAGTTTGAAGATACCAATATGTAAGCTAAATTTCAATATTGAAACCCAGATCAATAGAGAGCTCTGTGGAATATAGAGGCAGCAAAATTGTATGCCTAAAATTTATGGCTTTCGTGATTTTAGTATACTACACTGGTTTATGTATAAGCTACCATACTTTAATTGTGTAGGATATAACACATCACATAAGAGTCAGTCTCAAGGAATAAACTCAGCTCTTCTGTTGGTTCATGTTTGTATTGGTATACTAATTCTTTTCACCAGGCAAAGCATATGTTTATTGTTAGACTTCATAGTGTTAACTTCTGTTGCCTTAACCTTGTGCATACATTAGACACTTTAGCCAGTGTTAAGTGTATTTTGGTTGAATTTTGCTTCAATTTTTAACTTGAAATAAATTAATACCCACATTCAACATTCATTTATTTATTGAATCTAAAGGGTGCTGCTGAACAGAATCTAAATAACAATATTAGGGGTTTGAATCTATTGTTTTGCAGTAAAGATGTAGTGGTCAATAACAAGGTATTCCTAGGAGAAAATATTGAAACAAATCTATTTAAAATTTTATTTTGAGATTTTAATTGTTACAGGTTAGTTTACACCACATTTAGTACTATTTAAAACTGTGTTGCCTTTTTTTCTATTTTTTATCTGATGTGTATCAGTTGGATGAGCATTTCTTAAAATTCTTGAAGATTTCCTTCTTTAGATCAGAAAATAATCACTAACTTCCACAACCTTATGCCAATGCCTATCATCTTCTTCTGTTTAAAAATAGAGTATTTGCCATATGCAACATGTAACTTTGCCCTTAATTTTCCTTGAAATTAGCTTCTACTTTCAGGATCAAATGAAAGCTTCAGAGTAAGAAGATTCAGACTGTATTTTGCATCGTAATTAGAAGACCCTGAGAAATTCTTCAATGATGACTCAGCTATATCTCAGCTACATTAGCTCAGATTCATAAAAAAACCTTAGCTACCCGACTCCCAAGGGAATCCTTTGTACAGAAATAAGCCTTTAAGCTCTCTGTAAAATTCCTGAGGGATGTTTACCTGGAGATCCTGAAATTGAGTACAGTTTGCAAAGCAGAATCATAAGGAGACAGCAAAACTAGCTGTAAATAAACTAGTGCAGCCAGATGACTATGATGCTTTTCCTGCCTTCTGCTACACCTCTGTGTGTGTGTTTATATATATGTATGTACGTATAAAGCTTGAGAGGATCAGTTCTTTCATTTGCTTGAGATAAAGTCTGTATCACAACTGGCCCAGCACTGTAGTTTGATAGCCAGATTCTAGCCGTAGGAGTTTTCTCATGTGGAGTGGAGGTGTTATATTCAATCTCTTCTTGATTAACTGAGACAAACACAGGACATGAGAAACAGCTATTTAAATTTAGCAATTAGATGCTAATTTTGAAAGTGAGAGATGAATATTTTAAAATATATGGACAGATTCCTTTCTCTTTTTTAATGTCTGGTTGGATGGGGCTTTGACAAACCTAATTACTGAAAGATGTCCCTGCCCATGGCAGGGGGTTGGACTAGATGATCTTCAAAGGTCCCTTCCACCCCAAACTGTTCTATGTTTCTATGATTCTTATGAGTTTTGTTTATGAAGATGATTATTCTTTTTATCTCTCTTTCTCTGCTTTTCTGTGTTCTCTTTCTCTCTTCATAGTCTGATGACTTTTTCCCCATAAAAATCTGATTTTTGTATTTAATAAGCCAATAATATTTTCTGTGTTCTTGAGAAATCCAAGATCCTATTATTTTCTTGTGTAACTTGTAATGGCTCAGTACAAACTCACTTTCATGTAAGTGTTAGTTGTGAATACAAAACCCAGATTTTAAGGTTCCTGTTTAGCAGTGTTCAGTTCTGAATAAACTCTAGGCACTTGTTCATATATCATGAAGCAAAACCAGTTCCTGAAAAACATTCCAATAACATGGCAATATCAAATATTTTTATTTAATGAGACAGTTATTCTGTGTACACCTAGTGAATCCAGATAAATTCAAAATCAATCCTCTTCATCATATTTTTAAACACCATTTTGCTCAGTTTCAGCAACTGCTTTAAATAGTGGTGATAGCAAAGTAGCATTTATCCTACTAGCATCCTCTATCCGTCCTGAAACTATGACAATTAAGAATAGCCAGAGCTGCTATGTATTTTCCAGCACACCTGTAAGTGGAATATTAATAACTTCAGAATATGATGTGGAATAAAAGAAAAAAATAATTCTTTAGAGTAAGGTGAGGGTCTGTCAGGCAGTACATGCTGAAGAAGTCAGCAGGGATAGAGCAGGTGTCTTTATCCCTGCAGGAAACACTCTCATGTTGTGGGGTCTAGCCTCTCCCAGCAATGTTTTAGAGAAAAGGGTAAAGCATGTTCCTTTTCTTATTTCCTACCACTAAATTTGGGAAAAAGGCTGTCAGTAATTAAGAACTTCAGATTTTTATAATTTCTTCTTCAGCTGACTAACATTTACTCATCAGGGAAATAGTCTGTCCCTGTGTTAGAAGGAGGAAAGTATCCGATTGTCTGCGCTTGAGAGTTCACTAGAAATGTGAATGTATAACGAAAATTCTCTCATACACAGATTTAATAAAAAGGAGGTGGTTAGTAGATATAGATTCAGTATGCACATAACATATGAGAGTTACACATCTGTTACGCTTACCAAAGAACTGAAGGATGATGAAGAATGTGGAGTTAAAATAAATACATCTATATATCTCAGGGTGATATTTGGATTTTTACTTTTAAGTGAGGCAGAAATTGCCTATTTTTTTTCCTCTTAATTTGATCTTTATTTCCTCCAAAAGTGTTTGTCATAGGGTGAACAGTTGTACTTGTTTTTAAAAGGAGGATCAAATAGATGAATTACCCTAAGTCATTCTGAAATTCTCCAGCCCATTCAGGATTATAATACCAACATCTTGACTGATAGTCATAGGCTTTGATTTTAAGAACTCTTTTTTGCTGCTTCTTTTGGTAAGAGGTAGGAAAGAAATGGGACTGTATTAGGTGAGGTGAAGGAAAAATAGAATTCCAAGTGTTTTTTAATGCATGTAAAGGCAAAAACCTAGCATTTTCTGAGGTTTCTATGAATCTAAAAACTAGGTAGTTGGATTAGCACAAATCATATTCTTGTCTAATTAGTCCTACTGGGCAAGAAAATGTCAGCCTGAAGTGTGTCTTATATTTTCTACACGAAAGGCCTGATGTCTGAATAGTGCCTATTACATTGTGTGTAGGTACATCAATGTCCTTGGAGCTTGATTGAGGATCTCAAAATTTAGGTGCTGCTTTATACAGATTTTGGGAAGGATTGATTACTCTTTATTTAGAACCTGACAACCAAAAATCACAGTGTCTTCAAGTTTTGCTTTCAGTGCAAAAATTTACCTGGAATTATTGCTGACAGTAACAGTAACATGAGGGGGAAAAAAATGTCTATGGTTCACTTTCTGAACAATGCAACAGTTTAGTCCTTAAGCACAGCCTACAAGAATATCTTATCTTCTAGAGCATGAAAGAAGAAAAATGTCACAAATTGATAACTTCCAAGGGTTGCAGGGATTATTTTCAAGATAAACATTACTTTAGCTTTTTTTTTCTACTAACTGACTTTATTTCTAAAATGTTGTCAGTCTTTCTGTATTTATGGAAATAAAATGAGTAATGCAGATCTTTTAAACTCAAGAAAATCTTGCCAATCACATGAATCAGAAATAGTGGGCTTTAGATTTTTTTATCACTCTTTCTGTTTCACAGTGCTCTGTCCAGCCAATGAAATGCGTCTGGATTCAACAGGAGTAATACTGAGCCCTGGATATCCTGATAGCTACCCAAATCTCCAGATGTGTGCATGGACCATTACTGTGGAAAAGGGTTACAATATCAGCATGTTCTTCGAATTCTTCCAGACAGAAAAGGAATTTGATATACTTGAGGTGTTTGATGGTAACTATAGGATGCACAAATTTAGATGATACTTTTTATATATGTATTTTTACATTGCACCTGTGTAATCAACATTGTTTATGTACCATAATTTGTCAGTATAAAAAATCTTAAATAACCTATTTGGACTTTTTGTGCTAAAAAGAACTGTTGGATTACTGTGTTTCAAAATTGTACTGCATTAATTATGTTTAGAAATAATTTTGTTTCTGAACAAATACGTACTATCTAGTACATAACATGTAATGTCAACTGCCATTTTTAATTCAGATTAGTTTACCGTTTGCTTGGAGGATGTTTTCTATGTATATTAATTTTATGCATATAATTTATTGTATGTTATTTTAAACTTTGTAACTCCCTTTTTTTTTTTTTTTTTCCTTCCTTGTATCAAGGACCAAATAGTCATAGCCCACTGCTCATTTCTCTCAGTGGGGACTATTCGTCTTCTCTAAATATAACCAGCAATGGCCATGAAGTATTTCTCCGGTGGTCAGCAGATCATGGCACCAATAAAAAAGGTTTCAGGATAAGATATATAGGTATGTAAATCAGCCTTTCCTTAATGTGCATAAAATTTCAATATGGAACATATTTATTTATGTGAAAAGGGTATTTTTGGTAACATTAATTGCCAAGACTGAAAGGAAATCCAATGTGTTTTATATATGAACATGATGATACTGATCTTATGAGGAAAAAAAACCCCGCACACCCTAAGTAGAATGTATGAAACACAGGTGCTCTGTAGAGATTTAAGCAAATGTTTCCCAGGACTTTGAAATGGCATAAACCAGTCCCAAAGATGAAAGAGGCAGCATCCCCCTTCTCCCTCCCATAATTTATTTGCGCTCATGTGCCTCTGTTCTTCATACTGGATATTTATGCAATTCATCATTAACACTTTTGGTGGGACAGAGGAAGAGGAGGCAACAAGGCAGGAGTGAGCAGCTATAAGGTGGAAAAATGCGAGACCTTGAAGGATTGAACTCTTTAATTTAAGGTTCAATGGAAGCAGCACACCGTATTAGAAGAGATCAGTTAGTATGTCAAAAAAGCCAACAATGTGTGTGTATGTTATTAATTCAGATGAACATATTTATGAGTAGTGCCTGAAGATGATACTTAACAAAGATTGATTTTTATATAATTGCTTTTATAGAATTACTATATTATATCCATTTTACAGGATAATAATATTCATTAATCAAGCTAAAGTAGATCTGTTGCAATTTACAGCAATTACACAAAATCTATATTTGATTTTTTTATCGTGACCAAAGACATGAAATACACAGAATGAAAAGTACTGGGGATAGTATCTTTGGCATAAAACAATTTCACTTTACCAAGTGGAGAAAGCAATAGGGAATAAATATAAAATTCTTCTTTCTGCTGTGTTGGGGTTTTTTTCCTAACTGAATTTTTGGCTACTGCATTATTGCAGAAGAATAATTAGGCTCACAACAGTCTGTAAAACAGTATCAGTGTCATCCTTCCCTTTAGGAGAGGAAAGTTTTCTCAGAGGTAAAATGTTTGTTGTATAGCTAGATAAAATTCACTGTTGGCTAGACACAAAATATTATATGGTACCTATTTTCATTGCCTTTAGTACCTGTTGGATGTGTTAAAAGAGAAAGAAGAGAAAGTTCTTAAAACTCTTTCCCTAGTGGCAGTGAGAGAACTATTGAGAGGTAGACAAGAAATATTTACTGGTTATCTGTATGACTCAGAAAATACCAGTATATTTTCTTACACACTAAAGAAGTAGAGGTGTCTCTATGTCTGGTTCTTCCAAGAGTATAAGGCAGGAGCAATTTAGTGTAAGGAAGAAAATATTTTCATAGTATGTGCTCTGAAAGATATGGCAGTGCTTCTCATTCTGCTGCTTGCTTTAATAAAGAGTAAACAGCCACATGACTACCCTGATCAGAGGAAGCCTTTGCCTGAGAAAACCATTGACCTGAAGTAAGTCATGGGACGTGGAAAGGCCTAAAGAGCAAGTGAATCAACATTTTTCTAATTGCCTGAGAAAATAGATACCAATTATTACCCACATTTCTTCAAAGCATGAAGGAAGCACTTGAACAAACTTCCAACTTAATTTTCTTTCCTACAAAATGGGAAAATGGTCATCTTGACTAACCAGTCATGGCTCATTCATGGACCAAAACGATGAAAGACCAAGTTAAATTCTTAAACAAACAGCATTTATCTTGAACTCGCTACCAGGTTGTAAGTCCCTTCTGGTCCACTCTGGTGAGGTAACCAAAACCAAGTGACTTTCTACTCATGGACTTAATGAACAATGGAGTTAGAAGAAATATAAGCATAATGACAGTTTAATAAGTAAGCAATCTTTAATGTCAGAGAGACTTAAAGTACGTAAATCCTTTCAGATTATAACAACTATATCTCTTAAAGATCATTTTGCTCTCATAAAGATTTCTGAATATGTTTTTTCATAGTATCTAAATAAGACTTCTGTAGGACTTTTTGTGTTCTAAATAAATCACACACACACAAAAAAGCAGATTCAGTGTTTTTGCCAGCGATTTATGGTGACACTCATAAATACGATTAAAATCTATTTTAGATTTGTTAGTTCACTTCAGTTCATTGTATCACCTGAAAGAAACCGTATTAGAACCTGAAAGAAATAACTTATTTAAGACCAGAAGGAAAAGATTATTTGAAAAGAATTCTGTGCAGTATGCCCTTGATGATTCCTTTTTAGAAAAAAATTGTATACTCCTGAAATTTATACAATTGCAATAAATTTCATCATGAATTAAAATTCTGTCACTTACTTGGTTTAAAAAAGAAGATGGTGAAGAAAAAAAACAGTTCTAGAAGTGAGATATTGCTGTATTTCCTTTCAGGCTACTAAAACCTGACGCTTATAAAGCCCTACTCTTTATATTTAGTGAAATTGCTTGGTGCATGCATGATCAGGATACAAAATACAACAACTTCTAGTGACATTTTCTCAGCTTGTTATCAGACGTCCACTGAATTCAATAAGAATTTGTCGAGAATTGTCATCCGGATTCTAAATGCATGTTTCATTTATTCAATATTTATGTTTAAAGCTCTCTACTGTAGTACTCCAGAGTCCCCTCCACATGGTTTCATTGTCAGTCAGACAGGTGGACAGCTCAACAGTATGGTTCGCTGGGCTTGCGATCGAGGTTTTCGGCTCATTGGGAAAAGTACTGCTGTATGCAGGAAGTCTCCATATGGTTATTACTCATGGGATGTTCCAGTCCCAGCTTGTCAAGGTAAATTCTTTCATTATAAAATAATACGCCCTAGGAAACTTTCTTTTGCCTTTTCTAATGTAAGCCATCAGTTTTTTGACTTAAAATGAATAGCAGGTCTTGCCTCTGTACCAAAATTTTTCTACCTAGTAAAACTTACAAAAACAAATGTATTTTTAAGAAATGGTATTTCAGCAGAATTTGCTAAGACTGGCAGGTACTAAAAATAATCTACATCACTGTGAGGGAAAAAAAACCACGAATACAAAATTATTCAAAAAATTCATTTAAAACTAAATATTCAGTAAAGTTCATTTATCGTGATCCAAGAACTATATAAAAAACAGAAAGACCTGAAACTTGCTACATTTCCAAGAACAGGAAGCTGGACCAAAAAAGTGTTGCCTGTAATGCCATTCTGGTCTTTCATGGTTTAAATTGGAATTCATCGGGTTAACTGTATATTTAGTTTCTTCTGCCATATAAAACCAAAACATATTCTACTTAACAAGGAAAAGGAAATTGTTATTTAATACCCATCATGATTGTATCCTAATTCTTCCTTTCCTGAAAAGAATGCTATTGTTCTGGTAACTTACCTATGTCACTCTTCAGTTAACTATTAGAAGGATTTTTTTTCATGAAAATTTGCAGATGTGTTTATTCAAAGTGTGTACATTTTGTTCCTGTTGACCAGTGGAGATAAGTGCTATAGGAATGTTACATGTTAATTTTCCATGAGTTTTTTTTGACAAAAAGGTCTTTGAACTGTATGTTTCTAAAGCAAAACTACCTAACCTTTGTCAAAGGTGAAACAATCTCAGTTTCAAAACTTTTTGATAAATTTCTATTAATATATAAAAACTGTGCCTATGTTTTTAAAAACTGAAACTCCTCAAGAAAAGAAAAAAAGTATAAGCAATGCATTTGCTACGTATCATTCTTTAGCTTTTTCTCCTCATCAGTTATCTAAGGACCGCCTTCATGACAGTTGTTTGTAGAACTTGATCAGACTGTTAATTAGCTATATCAAAAAATGTGGAATGAAAAAAAAAAACAAACAACTTACCAAATTCAAATAGAAGATGATTATTCTCAACATACTGAGTAGAGTTCAGTAATGAAAATAGTTGCAATACTCAGATAATCCTTTAGGAACAAGTGGAGTTAAGTGCTTAGTAACTTCATGGTGTCTGATCAAGTACAAAGACTGTTGGTACCAACTGTTAGAGTATTGAAAATTATTTAATGTATGTATGTATTGAATACTAGTTAATTATAATTATGCATTTAATGAGGGCTACCTTCGATACATGATATTAACTTTATTCAATTTTTCCAGCAAGTCCTTGTGCACGGGAAGTGGTTTGTGGCCATGATACGTAGCTGCAGCTCACAACAGCAAACTCTTCAGATTCAGCCTAAAGACACATTATTACTGCAAAACCCCTCAGGATTAAGCAGCTTGCGTACATCAGTCGTACATCTAAGCCTCTCATTGTTTTGCTGAGGTGAAAATTATCCCCCATACCTGGATAATACAGAAGATTTATGATATGTTCTCTTGTATCAAAAGGTTGAGAACACCATCAGTAAATATCCCTCATGTTCTGTCACAGGGGGTATTTACAAGACACAAGGGCTTTGCCATTCCCCCTACTACTGAGCAGTACAGCTTCATCTTAAAGTAGTTCCAGCTCTTTTAAATATGGGCTAGTGGTTTTTAGAACTTCATGATATAGAGGATGAGCATTGTTTTAACAACTATTATAATTGTCAGTCAGAATTTACCAACTATTTTGCCAGGTGATATCAGATGACAATATCACAGTCTTACCTTCTACTTCACATTCTCTATCATTTATAGCATAACTAGAAAAGACATTTTAATCAGTTCTTTCACACATCTGAATGTAGGATTGGCACAGATGACCATTTAACACAGCAAAAATAAAGTATTAGGCTTTTTTTTTTTTACATAGCAGTGCAAGTTAAAAAAAAAAGAAAAGATATTTGCAATTTCTTTAAAACCAATGTATCTCATTTTAATGTATTTGATTTCTGTCTCCTAAATGAAGATTACCAGTCAAATCACAGTAGTAGTTACTGGCATTATCCTATAGGAAATGAGAAATCTAAGGCCTCAAAATTTATGAATTCTTTAATGATACATCTACAATCAGCACAGCTAGTGGTTTGTGGTGGTTTGGGTTTTTTTAGCAATACTAAGTGCATTTCTTGGCAAACAGTTTTTACTGCCTGCAGAATATTTCATGACTGTATTTAAAATAATGCTTTCTCTTTACATTTTTCATTTTGTATCTGTACCATTATTATCACTTCTGAATCCTTTCCTGTAATTAATGAATGCCGGTAGCCTTTTCCACTACAGCTTTTTTTTTCCAAGTTCATGAGTAATGTTAGAGCAATTTTTAATGTTCTCATTCTTATACCTATATGAATAGCAATCTTGACCTCTGAACCTCTTAGATAATACCAGCCATTCTTCAAATCACTTGCACTACAGGACTGGCAGAACCTGAAAAATCCAGATACACGCTTTAACCTTAGATGAAACCTTTTTAACATTATTTATAGAACTAAACATATCTTAGTATAAGAGACTCAATGCAGTAGTAAGGAATCAAAAAGAAATGCCTCAAGCCAGACTTCAGCAATTACCTGAAACCTGTTTCAAAGTTAATGCAAAAGCACCCTTCTTCTGTCATGAAAGAAGTAAAAGGAAACTGCTTCAAAATCTAATATTGTAGTAGTATAATGGTAACAATAATGCAAATTAATTGCAAACTTTACTGTTCTAACTTTTAGATATTCAATATTCTGTTTATATAGACATGCATTAAATAAATCATAATGTGAAAGTGTTGTCATCCATGTATCCATCTCAGTTTTAATGATATTAAGTCTCTGATCACAAGTCAATGAAAGAATACCATGATTAACTAAATTATGAGGTCTGATTATGGTAAACTTTTGAAAGAATGAATAGGTTTACAATAATCTAACTGAACACAAGAATTAACATGAATTCATATAAACAGTTGAATATTTACAACTGATCGTAGATCTCAGAAGATTCAAAGTATTTTAAAACATTTATCTCCCTGTTATTTTTTACATTTTATTTTTTTTATCGCAGGATTACATGATTCTTGGTTCTAATTATGAAATATTTCTCTTGCAAATAAACATTGTCTCACACAGGCCTCATCAGAAATCAATTTTAGGTAGAGATGTTAAGTAAGTAAAGTTTAAAACATAACGCTATATCTAGAAGAATTCCCTCTAGGTCAGTAATCTAAATTGCCTGTAACAACAGACATAAGTGTTCCATAACTGGTGATTGTTATGCAAATTATACTAAAGCAGTAAAAAAAAATAAAAAGAACGAGAATACCAAGAATACCTGGTTAGGTATGATACCTGATGAGTTATGATTTTCTCAAAATTTAAGCTAAAATACAATTGTAGTGGTCTGGAACAAATGACTGATGTGTAAAGCATAATGCCTTCTACCTTTACATTTTTTTAGACATGGCTATAAGTTTGAGATAGTCATATTCGTATACATTAGAACAATTCATATAGCTATGTATAACATAAATAAGTCTTGTATTTATTCAAAATAGACTGCTGTTTATTTCCAAATGCATGGCTGTATTGGGACAGATGTGAAAACTCAGTAACTTATTAAATGCCAAATAAATAGTTGGCATCCTTTAAAGTGATTTGTAAGGCAATCTACAGGAAATTCAGTTTTCATAAAATTTCTTAATTCTTTGCAAGTTAAATTTCCAAGCAGTTAAGATCAGAGGAGTATGTTACTGAATAGTTTCAGTAGTCTCGCCTATGTTTGAAATTCTCCTTGTAAATGTTCTCAGCTCTAGATTGATGTCTGCATTGGTACTCAGATTTTTTTTCTCACATCCCAGAAATGTGAAAGGTAGCTACATCTGCCAAGTGTTCTTAAGTGAGGCAGAGCAAATCCAAGGATCAGAGGTCCTTTATAGGGTGAATAGTCTGACTTCTGTTTGGGTAATTATCATCACAGATACTTTTAATAGTGCCTTAACATTTAATGAAGGGTATTTAAGAACTTCATCCTGATACTATAATAATTTCTGAAATTTCAGATAAGTCTTTAGAATGTGCTGGTGGTATTTGAGAACTAATAAAATCAAGGACTTCCAAGGGCCATATGTGTATATCTTTGGAATTGGAACTGTGTGAACAAAGAATAGATTTTATTTTTTCAGTTGTGATTACAATTGTGTTGTTGATTTGCAATACTGCAATACTGCCAAAGCTGACATAAAATGACCAAACATTTCTGTGATAGACCCGGTTTGGGGGCACTTTAGATGTTCCATATTTGTCATTTTTTTCCTGTCAAGTTTTCAGATGTTAAAAATACTTTGTCTTGATCTTTTCACATTTTTTCCCTCAACTAAAAAAAAAAAAAATACTGTGCAAGTTTCCACATATGTAAAATTCAGCTCATAACGGCTGTAAACTAAAAATGTCATTAACTGGTTCCTTGGGAGCTCTGTTGTTTATGTAAAAGGCTGTTATCAAGCATTTGGTGTGCTTTTTGTTTCTTAAAAATTTAAGGTTAAGGGAAGGATATATTTTCCTTGTGCCACAAGATTGATTCTGTTAACATGGATAGTATGACCCAAAATTTATCAAGTCATTAATGGAGATTTTTGAATACTGAAGGAGTAGTTAATCTCAATGGTAGATAGAAAAGATCTCAGTCTGTATCTACAAAGTATCGTATATATGTTTTGCTGATTGCTAAAAGAGACAGAATTTGCAGTCTGAGAACAAATAGTGCTGTAGCATTTGTTGGTGCTCAGGATGATAAGCAACAGCTGTTCACATGTTACAAGTCATTTGCAGGTGGATATTAGTTTTTATACCCTGCTGAATGCTGGCCTTGATGTAACTGGCAGTGGACTTAGTTCTGGCAGCTCTATTATGCCTAAAACTTTTTATCATTAACATGTGCTTTCGAGGGAAGAGGTTAGCTTGGCCAGTTATGCAGTAAACAGTGTTATTTGATTATACCTTGGTCATACCAGCTTCTGGTTACCCTCCTCTTTGCATGGATAGGTCTGCCTAATGTTTGCTGCTGCAATCCAAGCTATGGAGGAATTTGAGATATAATAAACCCCAACTTGGTCATATGTTTTCATTTTAGTGTCATGGAGGCTGTCCTAGTTTCAGCTGGGGTAAAGTTAACTGTTTTCCTAGCAGCTGGTGCAGTGCTATGTTTTGAGTTCAGTATGTGAAGAATGTTGATAACACTGATGTTTTCAGTTGTTGCTAAGTAGCATTTAGATTAAGTCAAGGATTTTTCAGCTTCTGATGCCCAGCCAGCAAGAAAGCTGGAGAGGCACAAGAAGTTGGGAGGGGACACAGCCAGGGCACCTGACCCAAACTGGTTGAAGGAATATTCCATACCGTGTGACGTCCCATCTAGTATAGGAACGGGGAAGTGGGGGCGGGAATCGCCGCTCGGGGACTGGCTGGGTGTTGGTTGGCGGGTGGTGAGCAATTGCCCTGCGCATCATTTGTACATTCCAATCCTTTTATTATTACTGTTGTCATTTTATTAGTGTTATCATTATTAGTTTCTTCTTTTCTGTTCTATTAAACCATTCTTATCTCAACCCACGAGTTCGACTTCTTTTCCCGATTTTCTCCCCCATCCCACTGGATGGGGGGGGAGTGAGTGAGCGGCTGTGTGGTTCTTAGTTGCTGGCTGGGGTTAAACCACGACAGAGGCTCAGTTTCTTTCTTTGGTTATATCAGGTGAAATTGCACAGCTTTGTCAGATGTTCAGTAAGAAGTGGAAGAGTGACCTTCTGGTGTAGTTACCTCGTCACTTTTTAGCCCTCTGGGATCATGTCCTCATACCCTCTGGAAGAAGGAATTAAATTACTTTCTTGGGGCCTTCACTGTCTTCTAATCACTGTTTTCTTATTTTCTTCTAAATGTGTGTTTGTCTGTAGTTGCCAGTAGATATTGTGATACCCATGAGGTATATGTTTTTATGGATGCCCAGATGAGGTGATGAGCAAATTACTAATAGTTTTCTGTGATCTTCTCAGTACAGTGTGTCCCTTTTTCTAAAATTTACATGTCATATGCAGTTTCTTTTTATGGCAATTCAAGCATGTTTTAACATTGATCTTATCACCTCTGTTCTGCAAGTTATGATAGCATTAGTGCTTTACCTGTGTCTCAGTTGTGATTATTAGCTTTGGTATAGTGCCACACTGCTGTTATATTGCTTATGAAGCAGACCTGTTTTACATCAGATCAGCTCACAATAGGGGCAAAAACAGATTACTCTTTTTTATCAAGTATTTAAGCATAGTCTGAGAGGCTTAACTTTTCATATCTCTGTGTAGGCAGGATAGGTGGTTTCTTAGGGTTCAAGATTCCACTTCAAAGTAAAGTACTTAAGAGCATTAAGCCCTTTTTACTTTGGAGCTGACCTGCATTAGATGTATGGTGTTAAAATGTGGAAAAGATAGTTTTTATTTTATTCCCAAACCAGACAGAGAATTATTTGGAGCTAGATCTTCTCTTGGTACTTTCTTTCTGCTGAATAATTAAAAAAAAAAAAAAAAAAGTGGCTTACACTTTCATTTGCCAATTTTCAATATTTTCAAAAGGGTATTTTCTTTCTGCTTTGCAGGAGGAAAATAGAATGTTGAAAGTTAATTTTAGTGTTTTGCCAGAGGTCACACAGTACATCTGATGGAAGAAACCTGAAGTACAAACTAGATTCATAATGTCTCAGACAGGTGCTTTACTCATTCAGCCATGCTGACCATATTTTTTCTAGCTACTCTCTATTCCCGTTTCTTTGTTTCTCTTCTGCATTTTGAATGGATAGCTGCAGAGTTATGAGCCATTGTTCTTATTTTTAACCTCCTCCATCAAAAGACAAAAACTTCCTGAGATTTAATTCCCTAAAATTTTAAGGGGATTTATTTGTAGGCTTAAAACACACATTAATGAGTTAAAAAGTAATTTTTATGAATTTAAGACTGTTGTTGTTACAATGCATAAACTCTTTGAGGTGAGCAGAAGCTTATGGTTAAGAAGATATAAAATAACTATGTCTTTCTCTTTACTCAGCAATATCTTGTGGAATTCCTAAAGCTCCATTAAATGGTGGGATATTAACTACAGATTACTTAGTTGGCACCCGCGTTACTTATTTTTGCAATGATGGATATAGACTATCAGCCAAGGAATTTACTACTGCAGTCTGCCAGCCGGATGGTACCTGGAGCAATCACAATAAAACACCTCGCTGTGTAGGTAAGTAACTTGTAAAAACTCTCCAGTGAGTAAGAACCTGGCTGTACATTTTGTTTATTTATCCAAGGCACAAATGTTCTCATTACTTAAACTTTCAGCTTCAGGTTACTTTAATCTACGAATAATCGCTGGTATTAAATTATTGTGATATACATATTAGAAATATATGCCTCTGAGATATATATTGAAACATTTTGTGAGAGCAGAAGAAATACACTAGAGATTATAGAATACATTCAAACTGATAATTAATTTACAGCTAAATCAAAGTTAATAGTTGCAGAGGTTTATGCAAAAGCCGTCTCTTCTGTGAGAGCTGCACAGCTCATATACTGTTAAACCCTATTTATTATCCAGAATCACAAAGTCTCTGGTACTCTGGGATACTTGTTTGAAACTGCTGCATATTATTTATATTCAGTAAATCAATATAATCCTACACCATCTAAACTTGGTGGAACATCACTGAAGAGAAAATGCACATTCAGTCCCGAAGTGGATACCATCAGTTATAAATGGGGTATGAAAAACCCAGGTGATCATAAGACTGATACAGAAGTGTCAGAGTGTCTGATCCACATTAAGATTTGGGTTATCTCACCCAATGAATTTTAGAAAGGAAAGAAAACATACCCTAGAATATTTTTCAAGGATTTTCCCTTTTTCCCTTTTCTTTTTCTAATTTGCCTGTGCTAAGCCACAAATGACTATGTGTTTTTGTTATTTTCGAAGTTGTTACATGTCCAAGCATCAATTCTTTTACACTGGAACATGGAAGATGGAGAATAGTGAATGGTTCACATTATGAGTATAAAACAAAAGTAGTTTTCAGCTGTGATCCAGGGTATTACGGTTTGGGACCAGCATCTATCGAGTGTCTTGCTAATGGCACCTGGAGTTGGAGGAATGAGCGGCCTTACTGCCAAAGTGAGTACATGTTGTATCTGCGTCTGCTGTACAGACTTCAGATAAAATATTTTATTTGGCTGAACTAGAAATTAACTAATTAAATATTGGAATCAGTTAATTGGAAAAAACGTTTCCTGCTGGAATTCCTGGGAATCCTAGAGGCTATTATTTACATTAGGTTTAGTGACAAGGAAATATCTGTAAGCACACTTCTGGATTTTAAAGGTCCCTTAATCTATAAAGGTACAAATAAGTAACAGAGAACATTTTCCTATATATTTTTCTAGGCCAGGAATGCTGTATAGTCTAGAAAAATGCAAAAACTTTGTATCCTGTCTGCACACTTGATAAATAAAATAATCTCTCCTTCCAGCTGGTTATCGTATAGTGTGCAAGTGCACATCATTCCTACCATTAGCTGGTATCTTGATAACCTGCAGTAGCTACTTTTCAAAAAAATAAGTAATGAATATTCAGATACTTCAAACAAGCTAAATGTGTGGCTACAGTTATGATCCCCTTCGTAACCCCTGTGAAAAGCAGGTTTCATTATGTATTTAAATTTAGGCATCTGTTTTTCAAAATTGTGGGGGTTTGGGTGTACTTTGTAGCCCGAGATTTCTTTCTCTTTGTGAAACACCACATGACATACATTTTGATGGAATGGGATATGACTGTGGTTTTGATGCATGTATCTAAACTGTGTATCTGCATATATGTGTATAAATCCATACATACCTAAAAAGCAGGAAAAAAAATGTGTAGATAAGACAGATCACTGTGGGTTAGAATATTTTTAGAATTTATAGAGAATATATATGAAACTAATAAAAAAAGGGGCTGAAAAATGCAATTCGGAAGACAGATTAATTATATTGGAAATTAACCTTGAGTTCTTTATAACCTACTGGAAATTTAATTTTTAATTTAGAGGGTTTTTAAAAGTTAATTACAATATTTCACCTCTGCTAGTGCTAAAAATATTGTGTATGTGTCTGTATCTATCTCTTTCTCTGTGTATATAGATATTTTACATAGTATATGTGTATTTGTAACCCTTTTTTCTTTAAAAGACAAACATTTTCCACTATGTTTTGGGAACTTTTGTTTGCAATATTAGCACTTACTTTTTTTTAGCATAAAGTGCTCTAGCTGCTTTCACCCTTTGATAATCCACCATCTTGCTTCCTAATAATAAAGTTCTTTTTGCTAATTCTTAAAAGAAAATTATTAAATTAAAATAATGATTTTGAATGAAAAGATGGTTTGAATTTTAGATAAATAGCAAGGAATTCCATGTGAATCGTTCACTCATTATAACAACATACTGCATGAATGCTAGGGCAAGCATTTCATTATGAACTAAAAGATAAAAATGACACCTTCCCAAAGAAACATAAACATAATTTTTAAAATGGCAACAATTGTGACATTCCAATATTAAAAAAAAAATCATTGATAAACCTAAGGTAATTAAGTAGGAATTAATAATGTTCTGAATGGTGGGGTTTTTTAACTTCACAGAGACAATTTTATTGGTCCTCCCCTGCCTCTTTCTTAAGTATTATTTCTGGGGAAGTAAGAGTCTTTGTATGCGGAGTTTTTCATCTATTTTTTCTGCGCAGCAAAAGACTTCAAGCTGTGAAATTTATTTATCTCATTGACTAGTTCATAAGTGTTACTGGTTGATAAGTATTATTGTATGTGTGTTTGTGATACTCAGCTGTACATTTCTGTTTTGGTTTGGTTTTGCCATAAAGTTATTTCTTGTGGAGAACTTCCTACACCTCCAAATGGGAATAAGATTGGAACGCAAATCACATACGGATCTACAGCTATATTTACTTGCGACTCAGGATACATGCTAGTTGGCTCTGCAGTGAGGGAATGTCTGTCTTCTGGACTCTGGAGTGGAATTGAGACCAGGTGTTTAGGTATGGATACTACTGTCATGGCTTGCCTATTTTCTTTCTCTCTAGCAGGCAAAAGTAAGCAAAGTGAATCAGCTTGTCTCTGTTAGCACAGACGTTGAAGAGCATTCTGCATTTTAAAAATGTGTGGCTGGGTTGTTTTTCTTATCAAATTATAACTATGGTTACCTTTCCACAGACTGAATCCCTTTTTCAATATCTTCCCAACATGCAAAATCTGTGTCACTGGATTGCTGCATATGTCTCTAAAGTAGACCTATACATCAACAGCAAGACTGATTCCAGATATGTCAGTTATAAAACATGTCCTCAGTAAAATATCTGCATAGTAGACCTGAACTCAGTGGTTATGTTATAGAATTAATCTGTACACTTGCAAAAGATAAAGGGGGGGGGGGGGAGAAAGAAAGAAAAAAAAGCTTGTGGAAACTTTGAACAGGAACACTGCAGCAAGAAAATCACTATCCAGACACTATTTATAGAATTTGACACCCTTCAGTTGTACATGTTTAGGCATCTTCACTTATTTAAGATATTCGGATACCAGTCCCTAAATCATTCATGAATAAAATGAACATGTCATCTTAGTGAAACAATTTGAAGGGCTTCTTTTTAATTCATTATTATCAGGTGTACCTTGATCTGGGTTATTGTGTTAACTGTAGAGACATTGATTTTAACTCTATATGCAATTAACATTTTAGTTTCAGCTGAAATCAAAGCTATGATAGTATTCTGATTTTAGAATGCAATATGAAAGGCATATTGTACCTTGTCATTTGTGGGGGCATGAGAATATAAAAGAGTATCCATAAACTGAGACTTTCAGAAGAATCTGAACTAACATATTCATTAAATATAGGGGTTTGTTGCAATATCTCTTCGTGCAGATTGCCATTTACCTTTTTAGACCAGTCTCCATCACAAATAGTTTTCCTTCTGTAATGCAGCATTATTTGGTGCAAATCTTCACTTAAGCTTAATTTAAATGACTCATGAATGAGCAAAAGTGTTGCTTATCAAGCTACAGTTCTGAAGCTGGAATGTTTCCTGACTTATAGCTGATGGGAACAGACAGACTTTGTTTATGTTTCACTTTTACAATGAAAACCATTTAGCAGAGCGGGGGGAAAAGAAAAGATCTTAATGTTTGACTTTCTTTATCTTCTAAGTAAGTTAGCAGAAATGGCAAGACAGACGGTTTTAAATCTAAAAGTTTTGGGGCAGCATAGTAGGTGTGTAATCAAAATGTTCTGACTTTTTTTTTTTTTTTTTTTCATTTTTACTGGTTTATCTGCAAAGGTTACAACTATTTAAGTTTGGAGAAATGTAAAAATTTTCATCAGAGAAATATTAATCTAAACCCAGCCAAATTGTCTGCTATTTGTGAATAGCACAGCACCTTGGAAAAATGCTTGCATTTAAAAATTTTGCCAGAATAACTTTATGCTGAGTGAATGTCAATACAGAATGAATTGAACTTATCCTACATTTGCCTGTAGAAACAAAAATGTAATATAAGCTTAATAATAGTAATAGGTTGCATAGTCTTTACTTGAAACTTGAAAGAAGACCCTGGAGTCATCAATTTTCAGATAAAACAAAACTTTTTTTACTTGTCAGAAGAGATTTGTTATTATTAATTTCATATACTATAATGTCCAGTAACAATAAACACTAAGAAAATGTGTTAAAACACTTATATGACTAGAGGAGGAAACAGTAATCTAAAAGATACCTTTTGTATCAGACTAATAGGACTACAGTAGATTTTCAAATGTATGTTTTCAAAGCTTTAATGATGGCAAATTGTTGACGAGAGCATGAATACAAGTTTTACTTAAAGAAATACAATGTAGTATACATCATATATAGCATACAAAAAAGCATGCATAGCTTGTTGAAAAAAAAAAGCTATTGACAGAGCAAATTTATAAAAGGGAGAGAGTAATGGCTACAATAACTGCTCTTGCAGCAACACTGCCTGCTGTGCTACAGCACTGTGCAGGAATGAGCTTTCTGGAAAGACTCAGACTAACTCAGTTCAGTTCTTATTTCTTCAACAAGCAATTTGAGACTTAAGATAGAGGGATGGGTTCAGCTAATGACAAATCAGAAGTCAGAAATTTGTTTAAGAAATTTGAGAAAGAAAATGTCAGAAGGTGGAGGGAGCAGAGTAAATGAAAGAAATGGTAGAGTGTGGGAGAAAGGAGATAAAATACAGCAGGAAGATCTACAGAGCAGGTATTGTAATGATCCGAGAAATACGTTTTTGTGCAACTTACGAATAAATGCTAGTGTTTGTTTTCAATCACTGAAAAATAGTAAGAAAAAAATTTTTATGTCACTTTCTACTTCTAAAGCTTATCTGCTCACAGCTGTAAACCTTTCTTAACATTTATCTTAGAGCCTTGCTGAAAAATTTTGCTATGCTTGGACTGAAGTGGCTACCAGTGTATTTCTATTTTAAACACTGAAGATGCCCTTAAGTGTACCCTTAGATGACATTAATGAAATCCAACAGAATAAAATAATATCCTTTTCCAAGCATTTTGTTTAAAAATACAAGTTATTTTTTCCAAAGTGCTACTCAAATTGTTTTGTTTAATCATTGTGTTAGACAACTTCATTTGCATTCTCGTTATGTGTAATTTGAAAAATTTATGAAAGGCACAATAAATAAGAATATAAGTATCAGCAACGGAACCTAAAACTAGTTACTGTTGAACCTAATTAGATATAGAAGAGAACAAGAACATAGGTAAGCTTTAAATCACCAAAAATATTGACTAAAATCCAAATTGTATAACAACACAAATAAAATTCCATGACATTGTGGACAGTAGTGCATGATTTTAATGACAGCCATAGTAGTGTCAGAATATGTTGATAGCTGTCACAGCCTTTTTTTGTCTTTCTTTTTTCCATTCCTGCTTCTTTTATTAAAAGGAGAAGGATAGTACTTTATGGTTATTGAATCTCATGAGACAGTAAATGGCAAAGAGAATTAGAACATTTAACACAACTGCCCTCCTTTCTGAACCTCACTTTTTCTTTTTTTTTCAGAATACCTAAATAATGATGTAGTACTGTGTGAGTTATCATATTAATGTAGTGATCTTGGTTTGATCGTTCATTCAATGTAGTGGGAAATTGAGTTCTGGATCAGTATTCTTGTTCTCCATAGCTGGTGAGAAGAAATAATGTTCAAATTGAAAAAAAAAACAACCACAAAACCAACAGAGAGCTCCTGAAGTAATTCTGTTGGGAAGACTTAAAAACAAAGAAATGTTTCACAAGATTTTGTGGTGAAAAAGTATGAAAAAAATCACTTCAGTCTTTCAAAATAATGGTCAAAGACAAAAAACATGACTGTTTTGTCTCCAGGGTTACAGACTGCCTCTGATAATTTCTTGTGCTTGATCTTTTCCTATACTGAAAACATTAAATCAGTTTCTGGGGGAAAGTCTATGTAATAAATCCTGGAGAAACATTCAGAAACATAGAATAGATTTCTACTGAATATCCTATTCATAAAAGAGACTGAAAAATCTGTGTATTTTGTTAAACACTTTCCTCAGTGAAAAATATTTAAATACTTGATGAAGAAGTAAGTTGTTCTGTTTATGTTTATACAAAAACTTAGCTTATTTACATTATTTTATTTATTACATTAATTTTATTTGCTTTAATTTACTGAAATGAGTAATGATAATTAAAACATTATTTTCATGACTATAAAAAAGTTTTGAGGGTTTATTTATTTATTTATTTTAACGCCTGTAATCAGCTATTTATTAAACCGAGCATTCCCCAGGGCGGAAATAAATAGGGTCTAATTCTTAACTTCATATTACTTTCAGATGTTTTTAACTGATATGTGAATGATGAATAGAATTTCCCAACATTTCCTAAGGTTTCTCTAACACTGGATTTTCTTCCATTGCTTAATTAGCACTATCTTCAGACTTTTTATTAACTCTAAGGAGAAGCACTGTCAGAAGATCATTACTTTTACAACATCCTGATTTCAGGATCAGGACTTTTTTGTTTGGCTAATGTAGCTTGGCAGGAGGAAATACATAGACATTTCCAGAAAACAGCACAATTTTTAAAGTGACTGTGGATAGAAGTTGATATGGTGGAGATGAGTATGTGCTGAAATGAATTTTCTTGAGGTCATTTGTTGGCTTTTAAAATGTTTCCTGTATTATTTTGGTTACCATGTCAGAAACCTTGGGTTTTTTTTTTAACTAAGTTAAAGCTAAGAAACAAAAATATAGCGTGCTTTGAGAAGCCTTTCTATTGGATCCAATTCTTCTTATACTTAAAAGCAGCAGCTGTTTTCTTAGATTATTCCAAAGCATTCTAATTTCTTTCTAGGGACCGTGGCTCACTGTTAATGTAATGTACAAAGTTTCATACTTCTCTTTAGGGGATATCTAGTTTTATTGAGTTTCTCTCAGTTGTGTTAGTTGCATGACTGAAAGTAATTTAGTAGATGCTTAGACATCACATCAATGAAAACCATGTGAAAACTGAGAAGAAATACTATTTTCAACCAATTTTCAGACTCATTAGAGGAAAGACATTTTATGCAAACTTTTTTTGTTGATTGGTGAGCTTACTCCAGCTTTTCACATTTTTTAAGTCGTGAGTCCATCCTCTTCAACTCAGCCGGAATACACTTAACCCTCATTTCTTAATTCTTTCTTCTTTCTCAATTCCTCCTCACATTTAAACATACTGATAAAACAGATCTGTTGATACTCTCTCCCTCATTTACAAAATTCATTGCTGTAATTTCCTACATATGTCCTAGGAAGAATCAGCAATTGCTGGAATGATAGGTGTGTTCAGTTCTGCAAGTTAGTATTAAATCTGAAATCAAGATAAACAATGAAATATGATTAAAATTTTTAAAGGTCTATAAAATCTCATATTTTGTTGTTAATCTTGACATTATTAAATAATGTTATATTTAGTTCACTTAGAGAACTGAA